GGAATTTTTTAAATATAGACCCCCCCAGGCATCATAAAGGTGATGATCCATACTTTTCATCATAAATCATAGTTGTTGCAAAAGATGCAATTTCCTGAATGTTTATTATTGAGGTATAGGAATAAATTTTATTTTATTTTTGAAGCACAGAGATTGAACCCAGGACGTTATGCATATAAAGAAAGGACTCTACCACCGAGCTATACCACCAGTCATTAATTCTACTTTGAGACAGGGTCTCACTAAGTTGCAGGCTGGTTTCAAACTTGGAATCCTCCTGCCTCAGTCTCCTAGGTAGCTGGGATTAAAAGCATGTGCCATGGTGTCTGAAAACATTTATTTTCTTTACATTGACTATGTATTGAGTGGCCTTGCTAAATTCTTTTGTAAATCCTGACAGGTGATATGATTGCTCTTTTGAATTTCCTATGTACATAATCATATTACTGCTAATAGTGAGTTTATTTCTTCCCTTCCATTCCTTGTATACTTCATTCATTTTTCTTGCTTTGTTGCATTTACTGAAACCTTCAAAGGACTATACTACCTAAGTGGAGCTGAGTGAGCATCCCTATCTTTCCTAGCTCAGAGGAAAAGCTTTCAATATTACTAAGTATAACATTTACTCTATTTTTGCAGATATATATCAGAATAAGTTGAAGAATCCCTCTTACTCTTAATGTAAGAGTTCTTATTATAAATGAGTATCATATTTATCAAAAAATGTTCTGTATTTGTGGAGATCATCCTACCACTTTTTTCGCTTTTTTAATTAATGTGGTGAATAATACTGATTTTTAAAATTTAACTTTGCATTCTTGGAATAAACTCCTGGAATAAATTTTATGAAAATGTCTTATTCTTTTATATTTATAAAATATAAAAAGTTTTACATTTTCTTTTTATATTATGTCACTGGATTCAGTTAGCTAATTATTTTCTTTAGAGATTTATGAGAGATTTGTCTGTAATTTTTCTTTCTTTTAATGTCCTCAACTTTTGTCATTAAGGTTATGCTGACCTCATGAGTTGGATCATTTTCCCTCTTTTTTACTTTCCGGAAGTGTCTGTAGGAGGAGTGTTTTTTTCCTTAATTGAATTGTTTAGAATGATTTACTAATTAAGGGATGGAGAATTTATTTATTTATGTATTCACTACTTGGAACTTTAAGACTGGGCTGAATTCCCAGACCTTTTTGTTTTTTATTTTGAGACAAAGTTTCACTAAGTTGCCGACACTAACTTTGAATTTGCCATCCTCCTGCTTCAGCCTCCTGAGTTGCTTGTATTATAGATGTGTGGCAACATTCCTGACTTTTTTTTGTGTGTAAAGAGTTATTAATTACAAATTCAATTATTAAGTAGAACATTTGTATACTATTTTTTCTTCTTGTGACAGTCTGGTAAACTGTGTTTTGGTTTTCTTTTTTAAATAGGGTCTCACTGTGTTACCCAGTCTGGCTTTGAATTCCTGACTCAAGAAATCCTCTTGCCTTAGCCTCCCAAGATACTTGTATTATAGCTGTATACTACTGTTCCTGGCTAAATTGTGCTTTTTGTTTTGGGGGTTTTTTATTTGTTTAGGGTACTGGGATTGAACCTAGGGATTATTTACCCGCTAACCACATCCCCAACCCTTTTTTATATTTTATTTAAAGACAGAGTCTTGCTAAATTGCTTAGCCCTTGCTGAGTTGCTGAGGCTGGCTTTGAATTTGTGATCCTCCTGCCTCAGCATCCTGAGTTGATGGGATTACAGGTGTGTGCCATCAAACCCAGCTCCAGTGTGTGTATTTTAAAGAAAATATTTTTAATAATCTATCAATGGATCAACTGATGCCAATTGATGAATAGATATAATATATCCACACAATAAAACATTATTTAGCCATAAAAGGAAACAAAGTACTGATACGACATGGATACATCTTGAAAACAATCTAATAAATGAAAAAGGTCAGTTATAAAGGAGCAGCTTGTGCCGGGTTTCTGTTCTCACAACTAAAAGGCTCAGGGGTCACTCTAGTTAAACTGGGCTAACTGGACTGCAGGAAATAACCACACAAGGGGCTGGGGATGTGGTTCAAATGGTAGCGCGCTCGCCTGGCATGTGTGCGGCCGGGATTCGATCCCCAGCACCACATACCAACAAAGATGTTGCGTCCGCTGAGAACTAAAAAACTAAAAAATAAATATTAAAAATTGTCTCTCCTCTTTCACTCTCTCTTTAAAAAAAAAAATCTTAAAAATAAAAAATAACCACACAAGAGACACAAATACCTTTTTCTTTGGGGTCGCTGTGACGGCTCCTCTGACCTTAAGGGTCCCCAGAAAGAGAGAGCGAGAGCCGCGCTGACCCCTTTTATTGAGGAGAAGCTATTCAAATGAGGCAAGGGGTCAGGTTTCAGGGGGCTGAGTCTGTCTTCATGATGTCCACTGTCAGCAGGTTGATTGACACCTGGGTAGGCCACACCCAAGGGCACAGTAAGAGGAGGGGACACACACAAGGCACTTCCATGGAAGATTCTACCCTAAACAGGGCAAGGGGTTATATTACAAAGGAACAGGTGAGCATAGCTTCACCCATGGGGCTGTAGTAAGACACACCCATTTCTGTGACTGAGCACCTCAGCACCCAGCTGGGGAGTGTAACTCAGTCACCCGTAAGGTTGGCCTCCCACAAGCTTGTATGTTGTACAATCCCATTAATATGAAATGTCCAGAATAGATAGATCTATGGAGGCAAAAGCAGATTAGTGGTTGCCTAGGGCTAGGTGGAGAAAGGGAGTGACTGCCAAAGAGCATGGAGGATATCTGTGGAGGATAATAAAAATATTCTAAAATTAGTAGTGGTGATAGCTGTACAACTCTGTGAATATATGAAAAAACAGTGAATTTTGTGGTATGTGAATTGTAGCTGAAGTTATTTTGAAAATCTATCATTATGGGTTCAATTTCTAATACCCTCTCCCCCACAAAAAAAATAAAAATAAAAAATAAAACATCTATTGTTGGATACATTCCTCTCTCAGTTTTGTTCAAAACAACAAATTGGTGCTGGCATTATGACTCAGTGGTGGAGCACTTGCCTAGCACATGTGAGGCCCTGGGATCTATCCTCAGCACCACACAAAAAAGAAAGAATAAACAAATAAAGTTATTTAAAAAACAACAACAAATTGAAAACTGTCTAACTTGCATGAGAATTTGTTACCTAATCATTCCGGTTTTTTTCAACTTCATTACCAGTATTTCAATTATCCCTTTCTTTGACATCCTGGAGGTGTTTTACTCTGGAATGCTGCACAATAGAATCAGCAAGATACTGACTACACAAGTTCTCAGGAAGATCAATTTTAGGAAATCTTCCATATGACAGTATGCCTGTGTATCCTTAGAAAAAAGTCTTTGCACATTGCTAGAAGCACATATGCAAGTTTGAAGCCCACTGCACTAGGCTGCACTGTCCATCAGGATGGCGTATGGGAGGAAACAGATCATGTTCTAGTCTGTTTGCCGCTTGGCAAGTCATTTAGCGTCAGCACTCAGGTTGCATCCCCAGACCTGGGTATTTCTACAAGGTCAGCTCCAATTCAAAACATGTGACAGAGATATGGTCAGACAAGCCTATCATCTCTGGAAGCCACAACAATGTAGAAAACAACCTAGACAAGATAACCTCATTTTCATTTGGTGACATTGAACTAAATGTTGCTTAGCTCTGCCTGAGGTTGTCTGAAGCTTCTGGCAATTAAGGGGGAGGATTTATATAGCTGAAAAACTCAGTCGCTTGCCTTTCTGCTTTTACTTTTTTCATGGGTGAATTTAATCTTTGTACCTGCCATGTCTGCTGAGTGTATAATTAGCATGCTGACATCTGAGCAGCATGTTTCTCAGTGAGCTTTATTTAGGGGTGGAAATATTTTTTACTTTGCATAAACTTAGTTACCCCTCCTGCAACTTCCTTATTGTCCTGAATATGACAGAATTTTAACCCTTGGAATATGCCAAGGAAACAGAAGATCTGTGATCTGTGTTGATTGGAGTTATTTTGTCCTTTAGGATGAATATGAGCTGGGCCTGTAATCCCAGCCACTTGGGAGGGATAGGAGGATCGCAAGTTCAAGATCAGCTTTAGCAATTTAGCAAGGCCCTAAGCAACTTAGTGAGAACCTCTCTCAAAAATTAAAAAAAAAAAACAAAAACGTTGGGGTTGTAGCTCAGTGATAAAGAATAAAGCACCCCTGGGGTCAATCCCTATTACCAAAAAAAAAAAAAAAAAGATGTACATAAAATTGGCTCAACTCAACTCCCCTTCATTCCATGGGCTATATAAATTTCAGTGCCCTCCTATCAATTTCCTGAAAATGTCTTGAGTTCCTTGGTCACCGCTGGCTTCAGCTTCTGTGAACTGTATTCCTTTAGGAATTATCCACTCTTCCCTCCTGCTGTCCATGCCCTCAGATCAACCCAGCCATGGAATTCAGAAGTTATTCTCATTTGGTGATGTTCAGGGTTGTATCCCACCCCACCCCCCGCCCCAAATCATGTGCCTAGCAGACTTTGGAGAAAGTATGAGGAATGGAGACTTACTTCAGGGCAATAGGACCAGCATAAAATCTAATTTGTATAAAGACTCTCCCACAATTCTCCTACCCACCTACGGCTTCGAATTCCTACTGAGGTCCCAAATCTTTCCACTCCTTTCTTACATTTGCTTTGATATTCCCATTCATAGCAAAAGTCAACATCCAACTTTTTAGGCAGGAAAACATTTTCCCAATCTCTCCCCAGCTCTAGTTCTGTCTTGTTTATCTTAGGACATTAAATTAGAATTTTAAAACTATAAGGATCTGCCCCATGAAGTCACAGACAACCATTTTCCTTCTCCTCAGTTTTAGTTCAGAGATTAGGGATGTGGATTTTGTTTGTTTTTAATATTAATCAGGAAAAAAATCCCTAGATGTTGCATTTTGATAGAATAACAGAATGACAAGGAAATTTGAGCCAGTCAACACTATTTATTGATCGCCTAATTTGTTCCAGGCACCAAGGGAAACACAAACAGATATAGTTCTGCTCTTGTGAGAATTACAGAGCTGGTGGGAAAGAGAAACATCAGTCAAATACTCACAGAAGCAAAATGAAGCTATGTGCAATGAGCACCAGGAAGGTCAAGTGCAGGTGCTGTGGGAGTAATATGCTACCTGGTAAAGGAACTGACAAGCTTTCTGTTGAGACTGTGACAGCAGAGTGGTGATCTGAAGACCCAGTGAAAGCCACCATAGGAAGAAGGGAAAGAGCATTCCAGGCTGAGGAAGCAGGCCATGCAAAGCTTTGTGACAACAGCAAGCCCTGACAAAAGACTGACAGAAGGCCCATGTGGCTGGGGCTGCAAACATGGGAAGCACTGTGGAGTAAGTTGGAAAGGTGGGTAAGGCAAGACCATTAACAAATTTCAAGCAGGGAAAGTGAGGTGGCTCAAATCTGCATTTTGAAAAAAAAAAAAAACAAAATCCCTCTGGCTGCAGGATGAATGGATTGGAATGTTACAAACACTTGAGAGGAACTGTCAACTGCCTAGAGCGCGCAAACGGAGAAAGGAATGATTATTGATGATTATTGACAGCAGCGTCTTACATATGTTTTAATGTAATTTTTACAGTAAATGAATATTACAAATAATTCAAACTATCCAATAGTACTAGTACTGTGAGCCTTATAAAAGACAGCAGTCCAAGCAGGGCATGGTGGCGCACACCTGTAATCCCAGCGGCTCGGGAGACTGATAGGAGAATTGTGAGTTTGAAGCCAGCCTCAGCAATAGCAAGGCCCTAAGCAACTCAGTGAGTCCCTGTCTCTAAATAAAATACAAAATAGGGCTGGGGATATAGTTCAGTGGTCAAGTACCTCTGAGTTCAATCCCCAGTATCCTCCCCTCCCCCGGTCCCAAACAGCAGTCCAACCCTCCTCAAGTCCCTTTCTCCCTCATTTTTATTTATTATTTTGGTACCAGGGATGGAACCCAGGGGTGTTTAACCAATGAATCACATCCCCAGCACTTTTTATATTTTGAGACAAAGTCTTGCTAAGTTGCTTAGAGCCTAAGTTGCTGAGGCTGACCTTGAACTTGGCAATCCTCTTGCCTCAATCTCCTGAGCTGCAAAGAATATAGGCATGTGTCACTGTGCATGGCCTCTCCTTCCTTTAAAAAGCCCTTTTTCTTAGGGATTGGGGATTTTTGCCATGCAAGCCCCTAAATTCAGTCCAGGGGGGGAAAAAAAGCCCCCCTCCACTCTTAACCATTCATCTGATAAACTGGTATTCTCTTCCCTTCCTCTTGCTTTTTTAAAATTTTTTATTTTTTGAGGGGGGAGGGGGTAGTGCTGGGAATCAAAACCCAGGGTCTTATGCATCCTAAGCTACATTCCCAGCCCTCCCCTTGATTTTTAGAACATAATACGCTTAAAGTGCTATTTGTTTATCAGACACTATTTACTTCCTATTAGAAAAGAAAAGAGTTTCACTCTATTATCCAACTCTCATCCCCAAATCTACTCTTGGTTATTTATTTATTTATTTATTTAGTTGTTGATGGTTCTTTATTTTGTTCATTTTTATATGCAGTGCTGAGAATCGAACCTAGTGCCTCACATATGTGAGGCAAGCGCTCTACTGTTGAGCCACTACCCCAGCCCCCCAAATCTATTCTTACCTTATCAATAAAGCCATGATCAGCTCTTCCTTTTTAGTATGTCCACGTTAATAAAAACATTCACTCGTTCATTACCTGAAAAATCCATCAATCAGTAAAGATAGACCTAGTATATTTCACTAAAAATCCATATCTTTGTGAGGACAAAAGTACCATCACTGTACATTTTTCATCAATATACCTGAATAAAAGGATTTTTATCCTTTCAGTAGAGTAAAAACTAGCAAAACCTTAAGTTGGCTTAAGAATATTTAAGGAAATCACAATTGAATTACATGTGCCTAGTTAAAAGACATAACAAAGTTATTTGTGCTCTGAGGGCAAAAGTAATCTTTATAGGACTGATGTCTTGGGAAGGAAGGATCAGAGAGGTTATGAGTCAACGATATCCATGTAATCTATCAATGGAGCAAGGAAAACAGGCCTCAGCTATATGTCTCTAGGAACGCGAATGAATATGAAAATAAGCAAGTGATTTCTACTTAGGGCCTAAAAACCTAAGCCAGATGTTTTGAACCTCATAGAAATCAATTCCAAGGAAGGAAATACTCAGAAATACAAAGGTTTGTGGACAAGAACATTCACAAGTAGTATTATTTATAATCATGGAAAACAATATTTATGTACCAAAATAGAAAAATTGTTAAATGATACTAGATCTGTAGAATCCAATTATATGAAATCACCAAATTCATGCTTTCAGAGAATACTTAATGCTATGGGAAAATGCTCATGAAAAAAAAAACTAAGGAAGGTCAGCCAAATTTAAAAATATGCATGTATATATAATATATATACATGCAAATACATGTATAAGTATATATAAAATATCTATACACACCCCAACTTAAGTTCATAGGAAAAAGACAACTTTTTTCTCCTGGCTGGTCCACCATCCTTTTACTTCAGAATCACCTGGGGGGCTTATTAAAAATGAAAATTCCCTGTTGACTTAGGAAGCAGAACCTAAGGATCTCTGTCTACCTATAGACCCAACTCACACCTCAGTTTGAGACCCCTGGGCCCAAAACACTAGCTCTCTCTGAGCAGTGGAATTATGAATAATTGCCTTCTTTTCTTGAATCTTAATAAACAATTCTTTACTGAGCAAACATCGCTTTTATGATTCAAAGTTTATTCAAAGCACATTAATGAGGCATGAGTTTTAGCAACAGTTGATTTAGGTTCCATTTGGACAAGTCTAAACAACTTCTGAGAACTAGAAAGTGCATTTTTTTAACCTAAAATAAGTAGGTATCTATGAATTCCTGGCAACTGAAAGTCAATGTAGGACAAAGAAAGCACTATACCAAGTGTAGATATGGAAATCATTACCTCCATAAATTGAGCTGGTAAAACATAAAACTATAATCATTTTAGAAGTAATAAGGAATAGTATTTCTCAATATCCCAAGATGTTCCTTGGCAAAAAGAGAGTTCAGTGATCAAATAAGCTTGGAGGAACATGGCACATTATTACCACTCTTCCCTCCTAGTAATATATCACCAGGAGTAAATTATAGGTTCTGAGAAGTCGAACATACACTTCATTCTTAATTCTAGCTCCAAAAATTCTTAGAATTCTCCTAGCATTAAAAACAAACTCAAGGCCAAAAGAGGGTCTAGAAAGAATTCTCACCATGGACTGATACTGCCCCAGCATCTCAATTCCTTTCCTTGGTGTTGGAGGGCTCAGCCCACATACATTTATAAAGCCTGAGTCTAAGAGCATGGCTCAAGCTAGCTACCAAATAAAGCCCAGAAGCAGCAAAACTAAGCACCAGGCTACTAGATATTTACTTTCGTTTATTATCCACCCTTACACTATGAGGTCAGGGCTAGAAATGTGTCTCCTTTTGTCTACTCATTTTATGTACACCCAACACAATAAAGCTTAGCACTTGTTTGGTACTCAGTGAAGCGGGCACACCTATCAGGTGGTTTAAGTTCCTGAAAAGTACAGTAATGAGATGAGCTTGGCACATAAGTACGTTTTATATTGTGCACTCACGACATCAAGGCTTTATTCATTCAGAAAACATTTCTGAGTGCTCACTGTAGATAGGCATTTCTAAAAATATAGAGGTGACCAGGACATAGTCTCTACCTGTAAGGGTTTCGTGCAGTGGAGATACTAGTCCTAGGCTTTCCCCATGTACAGGTTTGGGCTCATAATAGATATCTAATTAATGCTTGTTTAGAAACAAAGATATACTATGCTGATCAAATTTGGGCACTTTGGATTCTAGTCAGAATCCAACCATTCTAGAGATGCCTGAAAACTGAAGCAGAGTTATTTTTTTTGGTACTTGGGATTGAACTTGGCCCTTGTGCATGTGAGGCAAGCACTCTCCCAAATGAGCTATATCCCCAGTCCCAAGCAGAGCCGTCTTGATCATCACTGCTATGCCGTCTCCATAACTATCCAGGAGTCAAAATTTTTGACCAGAGAAACCCCAGAACCCAAAGAATTTTGAGAGAACACACTCTGACAATGTTTCTAAATTTGTGTAGTGTAAAGCTCTTTAGGTTCTTGTGATGTTAATACACAGCATTGAGAAAGGAGTTCATAAAAAGTTGACAGCCCTCTACTGCAGGCCTCCTCAATGCCTTTACCCAATGGGCTCCTTATCTGCACTGTCTCATGTAATCGTCACAACAATCCTGTCAAGCAAGTCTCTCCATCCTCATTTTGGAGACAAACAAGCTCCAGAAGTTAAGAGAGAATAAGTAATCTGCTCTAGACCACACAGAGGTGCTACACAAAGTACAAAATGGGACTCTAAAATTAGGTCTTTCTTGAACCCAACCTGGTTTGTGATCATTACAAAGAATACTGTTTTTAATAGGTTGATGGGCACAAGCCCAGTCCCAGAGGGGACATAGAGCATAAAACATTCCCCAACCTGATTTAATTAGGGAGCCCTTTTGAATGAATCAGCATTCTATATTAATTTTCCACAGAACATAAGATCATAAGGAAAGGCTATTCTACAAGGAACATTTATTAAGTTTGTGCTCAAAGAATTATTCTCTCCTTATTCTGAATGTTAAGAATTTTCATTATAATGTGCCTTGGTGTGGATCTCTTGTGATTTTATACATTTGGTGTCTTGTAAGCCTCTTAAATTTGATTTTCCAATTCATTCTTCATGTTTGGAAAATTTTATATTATTCCATTGAATAGATTGTTCATTCCTTTGGTTTGGAACTCTATGCCTTCCTCTATCCTGATAACTCTTAAATATGGTATTTTTATGGTATCCTATATTTCTATTATTAATGGGGACATGTAAATTAAATCTCAGTAATAAATACCACTTTTTACCTCCAGATTCATAAGCTTCACTTGATGACTCATTTCTTTCAGAAAATATTAGATAGAGCATTCCAATTCTGACATATTCAATCTTCAGGATCTGTTGCTGGGTCAACTTACCTAGTAATTCAACTCAATATGTCACTAATTTTGGTAAAGCATATTCACATTGGAAGTATAAATTTTAACTTTGCTGTATAACTCAACAGGCCTGCAATATGCATTTGGGGATGAGGTTATTCTTTATTCTACAGGACTAACCCAAACTTTACAGGGCATCTAGCATTCCTGACCCCTGCAGATTAAAACCAGTAATATTATCACTACCACCCCTCTGTCACTGTGAGAAGAAAACATTCCCACAATTTCCAAATTCCTAGGACAGTACTCAGATGAGAATTGTGGGCTAAGAGCAAACCAAAAATTTCAGCAAAACACTAACATATCACTTAGCCCAGACCTGAATTCAATAATCCAGTAAAACCACTGCATGCTATTGTTCCTATTACATATACAAAGTCTTGTGACTCGCTCTTTCTCTTCTGTTAATAACATGAACAGATTCAACAAAAACTGACAAAATACCATTTCTAGCCAAGAGGCCGATTCCAGTGTACTTTGCCAATTACTACAATAAAGCTGGGTAGAAGCTAAGCCTAGGACTGCATGGCTTACATCTGTGGCAGTAGTCAGAAAATGAGAAGAATACCTGCAAAATCTATCTTTTTGTCAAATATGCACTTTAAGAAGGATACTGGGTGGTTTATTTTCTTCTTCTAAAAATGATTTATTATCAAAAAGCTTGCTCCCTCTCACTAATGAGTTAGATCAATAATGCAGCTCCATCCTTTTTAGGATTATCAGGGCCAAAATAATTTCAGACCAAAAACAAAAACAAAAGAAAAAAAAATCTGGACTGTAGGTTCAGTAACATTTACAGACATGTCAATAAGAACACTTGTTTCATTTCTTGATTGGAATGCCAATCACCATAAAATCTTCTGCTAGAGTCACTTCTTGGAGATCTAACACTGATTCTGCTTGCTTTTTCAGTTCCGCAATGCCATCTGTTTCTCCTTCTCTGGCCAAGGCAACTGGTTTGTACCTCTGACTGAAATGAGTAAGAACCAGCCTCTTTGCTTGGCACATTTTTGCAAACGTTGCTGCCATCTGAGGTGTGCTATGGCCATGCTCCTTTGCTTTGTCCATCTGGGTGTCATCCAGGGTTGCCTCGTGGATCAACAGGTCTGCTTCAAAGCACAGTTTCACTCCTCCATCTCCTACAACTCCAGAACAATCACCCAATATGCATATTTTTCTTCCAACAATAGGCTTTTTTAAGACATCCTGGGGAGAAATTGTAACCCCATTTTCCAGAACAACAGAGATTCCATTTTTCAGCTTCCCATAGGCAGGACCTGGTGGAACACCTAATGATGAAGGCAGACAATGTTACATCATAGATATGGAATTTATGACTGTTTAAAAGAGTCTATTTTAATAGTATAGCAAACAGAAGATGGAAAAGGCATCAAATTCTTTTCATAATTATTATAAATGTTTTACTACTGTGGAAACTCGAATATTTATACATTTTAAAAGTTCAGTGTTGACTCCTAATACAATGTCTTTATATTTAAAACATTTCTCATGCACATGTACACAGATGACTTTTAAACTCCTAAGTCCCTCTAAGGTTTTGTTATAGTCAAGATAAAAGTTTTGATTCTCTGCTGTGCATAGAAATTACAGCTTTTAAGGGTATTAAATAAATTAAATATATTATATATTAAATATAATAAGGTCATCTTTGGGTAAAATTAGAAAAGTCATCTAAATAATGACATAATCAATGCTAGTCAAGACAGGTACCTACAAACTAACATAATAAAAATGTGTTAGAACTGTTGGATCACAAGATCAATGAACATTTGGCAACTGTACACAATCAGTCTTCTTCATAAGTTGATGAAGTCCTATGTTTACCAACTTGGAATTAAATCTCACATCAGTCTAGAATAACATCTGATCATCATTCTGGACAACTGCTTGCAAACAAGTATAATGATAGTGATAACCAATTCCAACACTGATCATGTTTAAAATTTCCAAATATAACAGTATTTCCATAGGCTTTTAGATAATAAAAATACCTTTGACCTAAGTTACTTTTCCTCATTATCTAGCATCTTGTTTAGAGTGGAGAGGAGACTGCATATGTAAAGAGACAAACATAAAAAATATCATCATGCTTTTTATAGGCACAATCACACCATGTTAAGGAAGGCAGAGATGGAGGCAGAATGGACTGGGCCTCTGCTCCCTAAGAGGTACTAAGGATCCCCTCTTGCATGATGGCTAGAGTAGAGGAAGTGTGAAGCCTTCCATGGCCCTAAGACCATCTTGGTGTACTTCCTCCCCACTGTGATGAACCCTGGTATGTAAAACTGGTTGAGGTGTAATGTGCTAAACACCAAATTAATCAAGGTTGAATGAATAGACAAAGTAGATTGAGCAGGAAACCATGGAAGTAGTTGGTTGCAGTTTAAGTTGTAAGGTTAAGAATCAAGGAAAAAAATTATCAGATCAAAGATGTCACTGAAAACATACTTCAAAAGGAAGCCATGAGGGTTAGGGAATAGCTTAGCGCTACAGTGTACAGCATTTACCTACCATATGGGAGGCCCTCAGTGCTAAAAAAAAGAAAAGAAAAAAGAAAAACTGAAGACCTAAAACCATCACCATTATCACCACCTAAACCATCTTACCAACCAAGACAGTACAAGACAGATTAAGAGTGTGGATCCAGCCAGGTATGGTAGCAGATCCCTATAATCCCAGTAACTCAGGAGGCTAAGGCAGGGGGACCGCAAGTTAAAGGCCAGCCTTGGTAACTTAGAAAGACTCCATCTCAAAATAAAAAATAAAAGGGACTGGAAATGTAGCTCAGTGGTAAAGCAACTCTGGGTTCATTCCTCAGTACCAAAATAAAACAAAATAAAAAACAAAGGAGTATGGATCCAGGAAGTTAAAGAGAGAAGGATTCAAATATACTACATATTTGACTTTTATTCTGAATAAATTCTTATGGCCCCAAGGATTTTCCTTAATAAATAAACTTTGGGCAAAGGAAGTGAGTTCAGAAAATGTAAGTTTCAGGCCTGAGACACAGGAAAGGAAGTTACTATGATACTTCTAATGGCTTCAGTAAAAAACAGTTCAATTGATAAAAAAAGAAAAAACACGGGCTGGGGTTGTGGCTCAGTAATAGAATGCTTGCCTAGCACATGTGAGGCACTGGGTTCAATCCCCAGCACCACATAAGAAAACTAAATAAACAAAATAAAGGATTGTGTCCATCTACAGCTAAAGAAAGAAGGAAAGAAAAAACAAAGCAAAACAAACCACTTACCAAGATCTTTCAGCTTCTGTGCATTGAGTTTACCTGGGCGTTTCTTTTCTACAACTGAAAACCCAAAGGAAGGAATTCTGTGAAAGAGGCGAAATGCTTTTACAACAAACTGTTCATCATCAACCAGAAGGTATGAGTTTTCTTCTGAATCTAATAGGATAGTTCTTCCTTGTCCCTCTTTGGGAGAGGGGGGGCTCTCTGTTGCTTTATCAACATGTGAAGATTCTTTTAGTACTTCTGTAGGACACTGATCTTCTGTGGGCACCAGCTCATGGACCACGTAAGGGAACACCAACTCTGTGTGAGAGAGTTCCATGGTTCGCCAGATAAAGTCTCGAAGTCCTACAGGGCCATAGATTTCAATTGGCTGTTTGGTGACCACAGAGCCACTCTGCAGGCTGATTGTGCAGAGGAGGCCGGGAAGGCCAAAGAAATGGTCTCCATGAAGATGTGTGATGAAAATCTTGGTAATTCTCCCTTTTGATTAAGACAAAGAAATATATTTGGAAATTTTTAGAAGTAAAACCTCAGACAAAACTACTCGAAACAAACCAAACGACTTACATAAAAGCAGGAAGTTGAATTTACAAGTTCTATTTACCATCATAAACTTATTCCTTTACATTATGCAACATGATTCCAGAAGTAAGACAGTCTTTATTTCACTGGATGGTTTTAAATAAGATGAACTTTTTTTTCCACAAAACATTTTCTAATTACTTAAGTTTTACAGTATTTTCCTATATATGTTCTCTCATTTAAAAACAAGAAAGAAAGAAAGAAATGAAATATAAATGTGTACCAAAATAATTCACTTAACTAGATGGGACTAAGTGTCGAAAGCATTTGGCAGTCACATTGCCCCCTACTGCCCCCTCTGGAAACAGGGAATGTGTATTCCAACAAAACAAAATGTTCCACCGACTACTCTGAATGATTGGACCAGTGCCCGAACCCAAAACTGCCTTTTAAGGACTCTACTCTGGACAGGGATTAGCCAACCAAGTCAGGGCCTGCCTATGCGGGTGAGCTTGTAGGAAAAGGAGAAAAAGGATGCGGGTGGGGGGTACAGGAGGGGGAGAAAAGGAGGAAGAGAGTAACCGAGTGAGAAACAGGGGAAGAAGGTGGGCAACTATAGATGCCACAATGTAGACTGGAGAGAGGTCCTCTGGACCTATATCTTGGACCTATCTCTTGCTTTTAGTCTGAACTAATACAATAGCTTTTTCAGTGCACTATTGGCTAGGTTATAACTTTATTTAGCCAATAGTAAACTGAATTTACTGCTGGTATGTGGCAGGATGCCACATCACCATTTTCTGAGGTGCACCACAGGCATTTGAAAGTAACAATCACAACTAGCACATTTCCAGTATAACAGGCTTTTGGGCCTACTTCAAGACCCACCTATTTTAAACATTTGATACCATAAAAGTACAGGATCTCTTTATTGATACCATAAAAGAACAGGAACTGTTTATTGCAATGTGATTTGTGCTACATCAGCAAATAGTCTCCAGTTTCTCCATTCTAGAGTCCTCCTAGAACGACTCCACCCAACCCAGGCTGCAGAGGCAGGGAACAATGGATTGGGCAGAAGTTGATTTTTGGACCCTGAGAACCCCCTGGAGGCACTCTCTAACTAGAAATCTCAAAATGCTCCTTTCTCTTTTTAGTCCTTGTTGTCACTGTTTATGACTTTGAGAATCCTTTCATTTCAACTACCTGTCTAGGCTGCCAAGCCACCTCCAAGTGGGACCTGAAGATTACACAAACATAAGGATGGCAGCAGCTAAGCCCAGATCACACGCTGGTCTCAAAACTGTTAACATCAGACTTTCTGGGTCCTCTCCTGATCCACTCTAAAACAAAGACAGAGTGGAACACCAAAACAGCCTGTGAACCCAAAGCAAGCAAGACAAATTAAGTAAGTGGAAAATTGCTTCCTACGGTTATCACAATTTCAGGGAAGATAAACATTTCATTTTTCAAGAAACTTGATTTTAGAGGAAGAAGTAACAGTAACAACAATTATCAGAGGTATGAGGAAGCTATCAAATGAAGAACACATGCATTCCCTTTCATTTGAGAACAAGGAAGTGATGGAGAAATACTGCCAAAAACAGTAGTGGAATACAAAGCATCCCCAGAAAATAATGATAATAAACACCCTCTGAAATAATTATTCTTACAGCAATTAAAGTCATTAATTTTCACAGGAAAAGTTCTGCAACAGATTGTTTGTATATATTGCTCAACTAAAAAAAAAAACAGGTTATGCAAAGTACAGTGTGATTCCATTTATGCAAAACGACACATACATACATACAAATATACCATATCATTACAATATCTGTATGTATAGAAAATTTACCTATGGGAAGAGGACTTGGGTTTCTCTTCTTTACACTGTTTTGTTTAAACTTCTACAATAAGCATATTTATACATTTATTATTGTTTTATTATTATCATTTTATTTATTTATTTTTTGGTGCTGGGGATTGAACCCAAGGCCTCACACATGCTAAACACGTATTCCACCACTGAGCTATATCCACAACTCCTTTTAAATTTTTATGATCATGTTAAAAGCATGTTTTTGTAATCCTTTTTTCCCCCAGTATTGAGGAATGAAATTAGGAGTGTTCTACTGCTTAGCTACATTCCCAGCTCTTTTTATTTTTTCTTTGGAGACCCAGTCTTGCTAAGTTTCTAAGACTGGCTTCAAACTTGCGATACTCTTGCCTCAGCTTCTCGAGTTGCTGAAATTACAGGTATGTACCTGTGTGCCCAGTTGTAATACTTTTGAATAATCATTTTATGATCATTTTATTTTATTCTGTTGGGTTTTTTTGGTGGTGCTAGGGCTTCCTGCATGCTAAGCATGTGCTCTACCACATTTAGTACTTGAAAAATACTTCCATTATTCTACTTATTATAATTACAAGGTTGATGATTATCTACATCTCCATTTCTGCCACTCCACTTCTGTCACTAAGAGATCCTGGGACACTAGAAGTATCTTTCCTTTTGTCATCAAGTTACCACACCCTGTGATGAGTTGTGGGAATTACTGCGCTATTTATCAAGACCTAAAAAATAAGATGTAGGTTGCTCAATGTCTTATCCATTCAGAAACTGAACAGATATTTATTGGGCATCTACTAGGTACATAAGTGATCAGTGAACTTAGTTTATTATATAGGAAGATAAGAACACAGAAAAAAACTATTTCAATAACTTAATTTCAGATACTGATGATGCTAAGAAGTTAATAAAAAGAGGAAGAAATAATAGAATGGGGGTAAGAGAGGGAATACTTAACCCAGAAGGTCCAGAAAGCCTCTGAGAGCATCTTCCTCCTCTGAACACCTACTGCCCTTTGTATTTTCTCATAGCAACTATCCCCTCATGGAACTGAATATATCCACTGTTCCTTGCCAGGGCAGTGTCCACCTAATATGTCTCAGGTAGCTCTCCCATCTTGCACCCCCCAAGTCTATAAAATTCTTGCTCTTGACATTTATAGACTAAATGAAAAGCAAATAAACAAGTACATGGAGTGCTAATGGCAGGGTGCCTGGGGGCCTCCCAAGTCTGGCCAGAGCTCTAGCAGGAAGTAGGATCACAACTGGTAGGGCTGTTTCTGAACAACAGGCCCAATGAGAACTAAGATAATGACATAATAACTAAGATAATGACATAATCTTGATGAAATACTGACTGCACACTAACCTGCCTTCAGTTGGCTTTTCATAAGCTGTGTCTGTGTCCCCTCTCCACAGTCAAAGAGCCAGCATTCGCCTTCACACCGAAAGACCACAGCAGAGGCACCCCGAGTAGGGGACGGATATGCTGCACCAGTCCCAAGAAACGTCACATCCATAGACATCTTCCACCCTGCAACAGAAAGTTCACCTGATTATTTCAAATTACTGTTCCATGTGATTTACTATTATTTATTTATTTTGGGCGCTGGGGATTGAACCCAGGGCCTTGCACTCGGTAAAGTTGCTCTCTAAGCTACATGCTCAAATCCTATTTGTTTTTTGATTATGAGCCCTCCCTACCCTGAGTGGTGCTGGGGATTGAACTCAGAGCCCCATACATGTTTGGTAAGCACTCTACCACTAAGCTACATCCCAAGCCCTGGTTATAACTCCTAATTGAACTAAAACAAGTCAACAAATCTTATATTGACTGTTTACATATACAAAATTAAACCTAGCAAAATTAAACTGTAACTAAGAGGCTGGAAGTGTAGCCTACTAGTAGAGTGCTTGCCTAGCATGTATGAGGCCCTGGGTTCAATCCCTAGCACTGAAAACAATCAAACACCACAGCTGAATTTCAACTACATAGCATTTCCAAAGAAAAACTATGGCACAGTAAAAAGATCAGTGCTTGCCAAAGCAATGGAATAAGGAGGGAAGGATCAATAAATACAGCACATGGGATTTTTTTAGGACAACAAAGCTATTCTGAATGCTGCAGTAAGAACAGACATGTCATTATACATTGGTCACTTGTACACAGAATGTACCACACAGAATAAAGCCAACTTTAGTTAATCATAGTGTGACAATATTGATTTATCAAAGGTAACAAATATGTCATAGTAATGCAAGATATTAATACAAGAGAAACTGAGGGGTGTGTAGCGAGAGGGCCTATAGGAATTCTGTAATTTCCATTCATTTTTTTAAAGTTCTAATAAACACTAAACAATAATAATCTAGTTTAGGTTCTGGGTAAGAGGTGGTATTTAATATACTCACAAGCAGTGCTTCTGGTGCCCATGGTGATCAGCCCTTCCTCTGAACTATTATGTTCTATATTACTCTACAGTAATGTTGATATTTCATTGTCATGCTGAGCAAATGTCTCACTTCCCTAAGTGATTGGTTATGGGGTTCTGATCTTTTAAGTGATCACTAATAACCTGTGAATATTTAGATTTCTACCAACTCCTGGCACTATTGCTTTCACTATTTATGGGCATAAATGCCATCTCTGATATATTTCTATTATGGAAGATGTGTGTCAAATAGAATAAATACTTATACATAACCAAATATAGATTATCCACATTAATCCACATTGTTGGGTGGAGAGAAAAACAAATAATTTTAAGAAAAATTACTACAGTAAGAAAATATGACCAAAAGTATTGATAGCTTTTCTTGCTCCTAGGAATAACCAGATAAAAACAGAAACAGGGGAGGGGGAAAATCCCAGTCATAAGGACATAAAAAAAAACAACAAACCTTATAAATCACCAGAAATAGTTAGCAGGATCAGGACCTAAATGATTCAAATAAATGGAGAAACATACTATGTGCCTTGATAGGAAGACCTGATATTACATAAATGTTCATTTTTTTTCAAAATTAATGTGGATGTATTTAGTGTAATTTCTATCAGATTTCCAAGAGATTGTCTTAGAACAAAAACAATCCAAAGATCACTTGGAAAAGAATAAATGTCTGAGGATGGGAAACAAAATTGCAAAAAATAGTGAGGAGTGACTTGCCTTTTCAGATAATGACATTTATTATGTTAAACAGATATAATAAGAATAATACTGAAAAAAAAAAGAATAATACTGGCATAAAAACACAGGTAAAAGGAAATGGAAATCCAGAAATTAATATGTACAGGAATCAATATGTAACAAAGGCATAAAAGGGTGGTTTACTTATTGAATGGCACCAACAAAATTGGCTGTTCTTGCAGAAAAAAGCAAAGTCTCTGTTTTACATTGTATGTAAAATTCCATTCCACATGGGTTAGCAATTCAAACCTTTAAAAATCCAATATATATTTTTTTTAATTAGGAAAGGGCTGAGGGTATAGCTCAATGGTAGAGCACTTGCCTAGCATGTGTATAAGGCCCTCGGTTTGATCCCCAGCACTTGGGGGAGAAAAAAAACAGAACAAAACAAGAGAATATATATATATATATGTAACTTTGGGGATGGGAAAGCCCTTTGTTATCACAAGAAGCCAAAAAATTTAAGGAAAGTTATTTTCATTGTATTTTTTAAAATATTTTTTTAGATGTAGATGGACACAATATCTTTATTTTATCTATTTATTTTTATGTAGTGCTGAGGATCTAACCCAGGGCCTTACGTGTGCTAGGCAAGTGCTCTACCACTGAGCCACAACCCCAGCTCTTTCATTGCTTTTTATATCATTTTATAACTTTATATATACGAAAAGACTCAAAAAGTCAAAGGAAAAATAATGGCTGGAAAATTGGTTTACATATCTTATGACAAGGGATTAATGTCCCTTTAAAGAGTTTATACAAATAGATTTTTTTTAAAAAAATAGACACAAAAGAAAAAAACGGTAAAGGACATATTCCAAAAGAAATTCAAATGGCCAATAAGCATGAAAAATGCTCAGTCTCTAGGTAGGTAGTAGGAATGCAAATTAAAGAAATAAAGAGACACCATTTTCCACATAGAAGCTGGCAGATATCAAGGAAGCAATGCTGGTCTTGATATCCATTATCCAGGATGAAATGAGATGGACAAATGGGTGCTCTCAGAAGCTACTGACAGTGGAGGTGTAAATTGCAATTAAGACTTGGGAGAACGATGGGAGAATACATATTATCAATAATAATGTTGCTGTTGATAACAAACCCGGTTATCTCATTTCTACCCTACAAAAATAAAGGATCTACATATAAAAAAAATGTTTATTTACTGTGGTGCTTTTAAGTGGCTAAAATAGGAAGGCAATCTAAATATATGCCATTATGGAAATGGTTTTATTAATATTACTAGTAATATATGATTAACTATTTATTCCATAGCTAATAAAACCTCAGGTCTATAACTATCATCCTAGAAGGGTAAGAATGATAAAAGTTAAAGTTATGGTATAATCTCATTTTTGTAATATATTCTCCAAACCCTTATATTTATGTAAGACAGAAAGTCTGGTGTGGAAGGTTACACATATACTGGTTATCTCCAGGATGATTAGAATGCTGGGGCAGAGAAAAGAGATATTAATTTTCAAATCTTTGGATTGTTTTCAGTTACAACTGACAGTATTTTATTTTTATTTTGTATTTAATTGTGATTCTATTTTTAAAATGTGTAATACAGCCAAACATACTTTTCTAAGTAGAGAGCATCTCGTTTTCCTTTCATTTTAGGAAACAGTCAGCTCTCTACTCCATTTACCCTTTGCACACAAGGCAGCACATTTTATCCTGGACCAAAGCCTTGAGGTTATTGCTAGTGGCCGTCCGTATGTTCCACGTCTTCACCTCCAAGATTAAGCCTCAATCTAACAGTTAAGCAGCTTCCCTACTGAACTGCAGATTGTAAAAGGTGAGAATAAACACAAAGTTAAAACTTTTTACAGTTAATAAAATGCAGAAGGAATAACAGAATATAGTCACTTTGCAATCCCTAATAAACAATGCACCTAGATCAATGGTATGTAAAACTTAGAGCATATCAGAATCACCTGGAGAGCTTTTAAAACATTTAATGATTAGGCTCCATCTTAGAACAATTTAACAGTAAATTCTGTGAGACATGTGTTTTGATATTTTTAAAAAGGGGCAGGGATATTCTTCCCCTGTAATTCTAATAGAGTCAGATTTATTAACAACTTAGAAATAAGGACAAAGGAGAACTATAATTAATTGATCATGCTGACCTAAACTCATTAGTTAATCTTTAATTTAAAAAAACATTTTATTAAGAAAAATTATCCCAGCAATTTGGAAGGCTGAGGCAGGAGAATCACAAGCTCAAGGCCAACCTCAACAACTTAGCAATACCCTCAGCAACTTAGCAAGACCCCGTCTTAAAATAAAAAAATATAATAAAATGGATGTAGCTTAGTCATAAAGTGCCCCTGGATTCAATCCCAAAACTAAAAATGAGAAAAGAAAAATGCAAACACATATGGAAATATATCAGCATAATGAATGCACTGCCACATTTCCATCACTGAGCCTCAGCGATTATCAACTCATGGACAATCTTGATTCATCTATTCCTCCACCCTACCCCCACTGCTCCAAGAACACTTGATAATTGGTATGAGGTACTTTCATTTGGCTGTCTTTCTGACATCAACATCGGATCCATCATTTCATTAGGAGTTGCCAAAAGGTGTTATTATTCTCTTATTCATTCTACAGTTATTAGCTGGTATCCTTCTATAAATCCCTGGTCAATTAACTAGTTATCCTGCAGTGTAATTTGTACACAAACGGTCTACAAAGAACAAGATATTATCTAACCCCTGATGATGCAATACGAAATATTGTCAGCAGCCTTCATGAGGTTTTCTTGCCAAAAAATAGCATCAAAACCTGAAAAAGCCTGTAGGTCTAAATACCAGTTTATTAAAGGAAACCACAGGATGGGAAAAGCAACATGCAGGCTTTTTTTTATAGGACAAATGACTTGGTCTTTTTCAACAAGTGAAAAACAAGGAAAAAAATAAAAAAGATTAAATGAGATCTTAGAGACATCAACCAAATGTAAAGTGTGTAGCTTGTCTGGATCCTAATTTGGACAGACTGGTAAGGGGAGAGACAGCGAAGAAACAATTGGGGAAATGTCAACACTGGATAGATGATAACATGAAATGCTAATATGACTGATAATGGCTTTATGTTTAAAAACAGAGTTACTGTGTTTCATTATTTAACCGATGGGATGATACATTTCAGATTTGCTTTAAATAATACAGTGGAAGTAAGAGATGAAACAAGATTGATCATGAGTTAGGAGTTGAATATATTATTCTACTTTCATGTATGTTTGGAAGTTTCCATAACAAAAAGTTTAAAAACAAACCAAATAATCAAAACCCTCCCACTAGGTCAGAAAGCAATTAGAAATTCATGTAATCAATGATGCATGTTCTGCGACATGCGCCATTCCAGGTACCAGGTATTAAAAGCGGCCAAACCAGATTAGGTCCCCGTCTTCTTGGACAAAAAAACAAAAACAAAAACAAAAAAACAGATGTTGGCCTTGTGATCCACCTTCGACGACGTGTACATTCTGGTGGTGACCACAGTTGTCACTCTGGGCCCGCGTTTCCCGGTCCCGGCTGCAGATCAAAATCTCTGGAGACGATGGGGCTCACACTGGGAAGGCTTCCCAAATGATTCTACTGGCTGCCCAGTGGAGAACCAGCGCTCCCTAGTTTCCAGACAGTCATTGTCACCCCTGCAATCACCGAGTGGTGTAGGTAGGGCAGATACTGCCGTCCTCCATCTTAAAGCTGGAGAACGGTAGCTCTGAGGGAGAGTGAGTGGCCAAGCAGAGGCCAGGCCTCGGCCACCAGCGAGCCCAGGCTCCCCTACCAGACCGCGTCAGTTTCGCAAAAGGCGGGCCGGGCGGAGGTAGCAGCGCCAGGCAGCCGAGGATCCGGCGGGGATAGTGACGAAGCGCGTCCTCGCTACCGGGGCCCGGCTCCTCCGCATCAGGCTGGGCTAGGCCGAGCCGAGCCGAGCCCGCGAGTCCCGAGGAAGCGCGCCCGCCCTGCTCCATTGCACCCTACCACACTCACCCTCTCCCCGAGGCCCGCGCAAGAGCCGAGGGAGGTGCAGGCCCGTTCCGAGGCCCAGCAGTCCGCGGGGCAGCGACGCGTGCGGGCGGAAGTGCGCCGCCGACAGGGTCCCACGCGGCCGCTCTAGGGCGCGCGGGAGGTCCGCACTCGATGGCGCCCACCCGGGGCCAAGCTCCTAGAGCTTCCTAGCTTCTGGCGGGGTCGCCGGGCAAATGCCAGCAGGTGCCCGCCTTCTGTCAAGGTCGCTATAAAATGGTGGCCGTGACGCATGAAGGCCAAAACGACTGCATCAAAAATGAAAATGTTTATTCTGGTTTTTGCTTTCTTTTGTTTCCCGTGTCATGTTTTTCAGACAAGAATGTGCTTCCTGATGCTTTGCCCAAGCATGTGTTTGTGTAATTTTGTCTTTGGTTGGGACAAATCTTTCAACACTAAACCTGAAAGTTTAAGCTTGTAATACCTCAAGAAAACTCAGGGACCTTTGAACCAGAGTTCATTATCGGAATGATCATGTACCTTTATTCCAACGTTAAACCTTAGCATTTGCTTAGAATCTGAAGCTGGTTGTGTGTATTTGTCCCACACCTTGCAGACATTTCTCTTCGTCATGCGGGAGTAAAAAGCCAGAGTCCGCAATGTATAGAGTGGTCGCATAGTGATTACAAACCACAGAGGAAAAAAAAATAATAGGAGTGGGGTTTTTAAAAATTGTAGAGCTTTTGGAAACTACCAGAAGAGAGACATCAAGAACCCCCATTTCTCCATCCCCACTTCATTCAGAAACCAGCTCAGTGGCTGGGGAGGCTGAGACAAGAGGATGGATTTCAAAGCCAATTTCAGCAACTCAGTGAGATCCTGTCTCTAAATAACATACAAAAGAGGGGAGGGGGACCTGGGATGTGGCTCTGTGGTTGAGTGCCCCTGGATTCTATCTTCCATACCAACAAACAAAACATTGATCAGTCTACTTTTTGGACTTTTGGAAGATTTATTTATTCATGTATTAATGAAGTTCCAAATCTGTGGTTTGTATTAATTTTGGTGCTGAGGGAAATTTTTAAATGCCTTGGCAAGCAATAACAATATGAGGAACAAATAAAAAAGCAAAGGAGTGGTTAAGATTATATGAAAGTGGCAGGTGGGTGGGAAACCCAAAGACTAGGGAGGCTGAGGCAGGAAGATAGTAAGTTAGAGGCCACCTTCAGCAATTTAGTGAGACCCTGTCTCAAAATAAAAAATACAAAGGGCTGGGGATGTAGGCAAGGTTAAATCACTGTATAGGAAATAAAGAAAGAAGGAAGGGAGGGAGGGAGGGAATATGGGAATGGGCTTGGGTGTAACTCAGTGGTAGAATACTTGCCCAGTATGTGAGAGGTTCTGGATTCAGCCCTCATCGCTAGCATGTGGGAACACACACGTGAAAACAAAAGACAAGGAAAAGGGAGATCACTAGCCAGGAAGAGGAAGGAATTGAGCTGGATAGAGTAGGAAAAGACAAAGAGCCTAGGACACTGGCACATGCCTATAAATCCCACTGGCTCTGGAGACTGACAGGTGGATCTCAAGTTCAAGGCCAGCCTCAACAACTTAGACAGGCCCTAAGCAATTTAGGAGACCCTGTCTCTAAGTAAAAATATGACACATTCCAACGGCTAGGGATGTCGCTTAGTGGTTCAGTACCTGTAGGTTCAATACCCCCCCACCCCGTAACAAAAAGACAAACAAACAACAACAAAGAATACTGACAGGGGTATATGAGGAGAATCAGAAGTAGAGGGGGAAAGGAACATATTAAAAGCATATCAAAAAGAAATAATGGGTGAAAGACTTCCCAGTTTATTGAAAAGCAATACTTTCTCATTCTTCAGGAGCTCACAAATTCCAAACAGGATAAACACAAAGAGACCCACAGATATATCATAGTAAAAAGACAAAGAGAAAACCTTGAAAGCAGCAAGTGGAAAACCACTCACTACTTAGAAGAGAACCAGAAGATCAACATACTGACTTCTCATCAATGGGAACCAGGAGGCAGGTGGGATGACACATTCCAAGTGCCCAAAGGAAAAAAAAATCTGTCAATGATTAGCCTATATTAAGCAAAGCTACCTTTCAAAAATGAAGGCAAAATACTCTCGCAGCCAAGTAAAAACTGAGGAAATCTACTGCTAGCAGACCTGCTTTATAAGAAATACTAAATAAAGCTCTTCAGCCTAAAAGTGAGCAACCCCAGATGGTAATTAAAACCCACAATAAAAGAAACAAACAAACAACAAAAAAAAAAAACAATAAATGTGCATTCCTTGCAGCAAGGAAGTTCCAGATAACACACAGCTTTGGCTGATGCAATGCAGTATCAGTATACAAAGGTCTTTCTCATTCCTTTTTATAGCTATCTAGTACTTTCTGTGTGGTTGTACACCATAGTATAATCAGTCCTTTGAGTTGTTCCAGTTGGTTTTTTTTTTTTTTTTTGTCAAAGTGAGGTGACAAATGGCCTTGTGCATTAATTATGTTTTACAAGTATATCTTTGGCATTGATTCTGGACAAGTAGGATTGATGGCTGAAGGTAAACACACACACACACACACACACACACACACACACACACACACACACTCAATTCTGCTAGCCATTACTAAAATTTTGATTTTTTTTTTTTTTTTTTTGGTAGTGGAGATTGAACCAAGTGACAATTTATCACTGAGCTACATCCCCAAACCCCTTTTTATTTTATTTTTTTGAGACAGAGTCTTGCTAAGTTGCTTGGGGCCTCCCTAAGTTACTGAGGCTGGCCTCAAATTTGCAATCTTCCTGCGTCACCCTCCTGAGTTATAGCCATGCGCTATAATTTGGCTTTGACTTTTATTATCAATTTATGAGAGCACTTTTCCCCTCAATGCTTTATCACCAGTCATGTGGTCAAACTTTTGGATTTTTGACAATCTCTTAGTGTTGTATAAATTTGCAATTATTTTTGATAAATGAACTATGTTGAGAATCTTTCCTTAAGTTTTATAGGGCCTTGTATTAGGATTCTCTAGAGGAACAGAATCAATAGGAAGTATGATTATGGAAAGGGGATTTATTAGATTGGCTTATACAACTAGCACCTGGATAATCCACAATGGCCTCCTGTAGGCTGAAGAGCTGGAAGAGCCAGTAGCTGTGCAGTCCAAGAGGCTGAAGCTCCAGAATAAGAGGGATCAACGGTTCTGTGAACTGCTGTGCTTATATTTTGGTCAATTTTCTGTTACATTGTGGGCTTGTTCTTCTCAATTTTTAGGTAATTTTGTTATGTCAGATGTGGGACCCCAATAGACCTCCAGGAGCCGAATGCAATGCAAACACACAAGAGTCTTTATTGCAAGCTCGAGCCTGGACTCACAACCGTTCCGATGCAGTGGTCCCAGGGAGTGAGTCCAGGTCCTTTGTTCAGTGAGATTTTATAGGTTTTGGGGGGATACTCTATGCGTCACAACATCACACAGCAAATCATTCCATACCGCGGGAAAGTCAAACAACAACTCTTAACATTGATTAGCACATTCAGTGGCAGGAACAAGTTGGGTAGGGGTGATTGGCTAGTACAAGGGGGGGGTTCCTTTGAACTGATTGGTTTAGGCCACGAGGGGTGTACGTGCTGAACTACGTGGTTTCCCAACATGTTATCAAACACCATAAATTACTGGGAGGTCATCTGGCATCCCAGGTATTTTCCCTGTCTCATGCTGATTGGAGGTTGCTAGGGGGGTTGCTATGGGTCCTCACCTGGCCTAACTGAGTCAGGGACACCTGGCGCCTCAGATCTCTCCTGTTATTTACAAACAACTCAGCTGGGTGGGTATGTGCTCTGTGGGTTTTTCCAAGGACAAGGGTCACACCCCCTTCCTTGGACAGGCTTTGCTAAAATGGAGTCACATTAGTTTCTCACTTTCTACATGTCAGAGATAAAAACTCTTTGCAAATATGTTTCCCAGTTTTTCATTTGTCTTTGTTCATTGCTTAACAACATGAATTTTTGAGTCAAAGAGATCAGGAATCTTGATTTTATCCCTCTGTTTTGGGTTGATCAGGTAGCCATTGAACTTTTTGAGTTTCTGGGGTTTTTTTTAATATATTTTTTTAGTTATACATGGACACAATATCTTTATTTTGTTTGTTTATTTATTTTTTATTTATTTTTATGTGGTACTAAGGATGGAACTCAGTGCCTCACATGTGCGAGGCAAGCACTCTACCACTGAGCCACTACCCCAGAACCCCCCACCCCAGCTTCTGTTTTTTTTTTTTTTTTTTTTTTTTTAATAAAATCAGGAAAATAGGGGCTTCCTAGCACTTGCCTAGCACTTGCGAGGCCCTGGGTTTGATCCTCAGCACCACATAAAAATAAAGAAATAAAATAAAAGGTATTGTGTCCAACTACAGCTAAGAAATAAATATTTTTTTAAAATTAGGAAAATAGTGCTTTTCTTGTTTCAAACTTTTATTATAAAGACTAAATGCTGCCTTTTGAAAATTCTTTATTATTATTCAAGTGTGACTCATTCCTAAGTGATACCCACACATCTAATACCACAGAAAGAGCTGCCTTTTCTTTTCTCTCATTCTCTTCCTAGATATGATATATAGTGGTCTTCTACATATTGCCTCTTCCACAGGAGTAACAGACTTGGAATTAAGGGGGAAGGATAGTGACAATGATTATAAATTAGTAGAAGGTAGTGGGCAAGTTCAGAGTCAACAAAGTGCTAACATAACTACATTTTCCTCTTTTAAGTTATATTCAGAAAGCATTTGTTGACTGATTATGTGAAACCAGTGCTTTCTATATCTATGTAGAGAAAGAGTCCTGTACGTGGTGAGAAAGACATTTTGAGACTACAAAATAAGACTTGACCTCCACTTCTCAATTTGCTTAGTGTTGTTAGATGGGGATATATATTCACACACACACACACACACACACACACACACACAGAAGTAGCTGACATCTTTGGATGTCAGGTACAATTATTGGTTACTAAGCTAGAAATTAATTTTTGTTGATTTAAGCAGACTGAAAGAAGATTAGTTAGCTCACAGAATTACCAGAAAACAAGGGTTAATGGGGGCTGTGGGAATCACAGCCAAGGTCTTAGCCCAGGACCTTTTTTGGGCATTGCCACTATTCTTGTTTGCCATGAGGCTGGGAGAAGGAGGATCTTTCCCACACTTGCTCGAGGATCCATAGTGGAAGACAGTACACCCCATCCCCTACAACACTGTTCATCATAGGAAACACCACCAAATAATACCATTTAAAGGGGAAGAACTGGGGAACGAAGTTGACCAAATGATGCTATGTGCATGAATGTACATATCACAATGTGTTCCAATTTTCTACATAATTGTAATATGCAAATTTAAAAAAATAAAAAAATAAATTGGGGAGACCAGTAGACTAGAGGAAGAACTAGAACTATGTTGCATGTATTTATGAATATGTCAAAATGAATCCCACTATTATGTATAACTATAATGCACTAATTTTAAAAAAACAAACAAACATAGACATAGCCAGGCACAGTGGCACATGTAATCCCAGGGACTCAGCAAACTGAAGCAGGAGGATTACAAGTTCAAGGCCAGTCTCAGCAACTTTGCAAGGCCCAAAGCAACTTCATGGGACCCTGTCTCAAAAAATAGAAAATGTGGCTCAATGGTAAATCACTGTTGGGTTCAATCTCCAGTACTACCCCCAACACCAAAATAAACTCCAACACTTTGCTAATTATCATATTGATTATAAAAAATGGACTTTATTGGTGACTCTAGTGAATTGTTAATTATCATGATGAATATTAGAAATGGGATGTCACTGATAAATGCAAGATATTCAATATGGGCAGATTGGCTGGATTTATTCAGATTCCCTCCACACTCGGACAAACATATACCTATAATCTATACTCTTAGGATGTCATCTGAGACAGTATTCCCTATCTTTCCTGGGTGGAGCCATTTCTGATTTTATACCAGCTAAAGGGCACAAATTCCTGGTCTCTGGAATGTTTTTCCTGAGTGGACCTTTCCTAGAAGGTGTGGTCAGTGGCCCTAAAAAGGACAGAAAGCTAGAAAGTCATCACACTGGAATGAATTGTATCTCCCCCAAATGTTTATGTTGAAGCCCTAAACATCAGTGCGACTGTTTGGAGATAGGGCCTTTACAGAAGTAATTAAGATTATTAAGTCAGGGTACAAGCACAGGGCTCATACAAAGGATTAATATCCTCATATGGAGAGGAAGAGAGACCAGAGTATGCTGGCTCTTGTGTACCTCGCCTCATTCTCTCTCTTTCTCCTCATGCACACATCAAGAAAATGTCATGAGCACATAGTGAGCACATGGTAGTGCTCTTATCCAAGGCGTCACTTTCTGTAGTTTCACTTACCCACAGCCAAATGTGATTTGGAAATATGAAATAGAAAATTCTAGATAAGCTATTCATAAGTTTTAAACTGCAAGCCATTGTGAGTAGCACGATGAAATCAGACGCTGTCTCACTCCATCCCACCTGAGATGTGAATCATCTCTTTGTTCAATGTGTCTGTGCTGAATTTGCTACCTACCTGTTAGTCACTCAGTTATCAGATTAACTATCATGATACCTCAGTGCTTGTGGTCAAGTTACCCTTATTTTGCTTAGTGATGGCCCCAAAGCACAAGAGAGTGATATGAAGGAAGCACCAGAGCATAGACCATGAAAGGACAGAATAGTTCTGGTATCATGGGACAATGCTGCAGGGCATATTAGGAGGGAAATAGATACATATGTAGATGGATAATTGGTACTATCCACAGTTTCAGGCATCTGCTGGGGGTCTTGGAATGTATCTTCAAGGACAAAGGGAGACTATTTTACAGGCCAGAAAGAACACTTACCAGAATTATGCTGCCACCTTGATCTTACAGTTCTAGCCTCCAGAATGTGAGAAAATAAATTCCTGTCTTGGGTAGAAGACTAAGACAGTGGCATAATATGAATGAGTTTTGTATCTGCTTGTATACAGAACATTTGCTTATTGAATATTTTGCATATATGACAGAATTTTGTTGAGTCTTGTTTTTATTAAGACCTAATAGTAAGGTTGTTGGCAGTAGCTAATCCTTGCCCACCTCAAACCTCTTTGGTACTGTTAATGAGCTGAAAGTACCTATTTGGGGGGTATGTGTCCAAATTAGCTGAGATTATTTCCTAGTATGATCTAGAGTTGGGAATTGTATCCAGAAAAAAATAAAACAAAAACAACACTATCTGGGAATCCAGACAATCTAATTACCTGGCCAATAGCTCTAATAATTTCAGTGTTTCTACTCTACAGGTCTACATCCTGAATAACTTGCTGTGCTGGTCTGGGTCTCCCCAGAAGCACCCAAGGAAGTAAGGTTAAACATGCAAGTAATTTATTAGAGAAAATAAATGTGAGAATCAAGAGGGAAGCATTCAGAACACGGGAGTTCATTTTCAAAGAGGAGGAGAGAGGGAAGGAAGAACTGTTAGATAGAAGTACAGTTCTGAGTCACAAGGCCACAGGGAGCTAAGAGTGACCCTGGAGAAGAATCCCCTGGATTCCAGGAATGGGCCTGTGGTGCTATTTGCTGTCCTATTTGGGCGGATCCCGTCACAGGAGGCGCCATGTGAATGTGATGATGGGTTTCAGAGCATAGCACTTTAGGCTGGTAGTAAGTTACACTCCTAGGAGTCAGAGATTAGAGAGGCATATTCTCATGGTTGCTTACTTTGCAGTGACTTAAGTGTAATTTTAACTGTGTGTGTGTGTGTGTGTGTGTGTGTTGCTGAGGACTGAAACCAGGGTCATTGTACTACTGAGTGACATCTCCAGCTTTTTAATTGTTTTGAGACAGAGTTTCACTAAGTTGCTGAGGTCTTGAACTTATGATATACCTGCCTCAGTTTTCTGAGTCACTGGGACTACAGGCATGTGCCACCACATCTGATCCTTATGCATAATTTTTAGACCAGCTTGAGAAAGAAAATTATTTGTGTTCAAAGTTGCCTTCCAGTTGAGACCCAGAGCAGATGGTACTTAAGATCCACATTGTTTAGTGTTCATGAACTGAGCCACCATTATTACTGTTTCTGAGTGTTAGTACTTTGACAGACAATGAAAGATTTTTATTGGTCTACCTACTTCAGCTAGAATAATGAGTTAAATAATGAGCTAAAAGTGACCCTGCAAAGTGACCTATAGCCTCAAGGTATCTTAAGGATGGGAGCTATCACAGGAAAGACCAAGGCAGGATTAGAAGGTTAGGACATTGAGTTTCACCCCTGAATGCTGGAGATAGGAGAGCTGAAGGTTGGGTTTACCACCAAGTTGGATATTTATTACTTATTGCAGCAGAGGAGGATACAGGCCATGGGGAAATGTGGGGCAACTCTGTAACTGGGTGTTAGAAAATACTTTTGTAGGATTTGGATTTGTTTGGTTTAGTGATTTTGCAGAGGGGCCATGGAATTTGACATTTATTTTCGAACGGACTAGTGGGTGAGTAGGAACAATTCTATGACTGGTAAATCTTTAGTGATATTTATCACATTCAATAAACTATAGAGAGTACTAACTAGAGTGAGGCTAGAACTATAATTGGTAAAAATCAGCAATCATACTACTCAGGATTCTGGGGATGCTGTTTACTTTTGTGGTTTGGACAGCATCCATATTTTATCTACAGATGTCGATTGCAGAGTGGCTATTTAAAAAAAATACATTTATTTATTTTTATGTATTGTTTAGAATCGTACCCAGTGCCTCACACGTGCTAGGCAACCGCTCTACCTCTGAGCCACAACCCCAGCCCCAGAGTGGCCATTTTTATCTGAACCCATTTGGTCAGAATAGCCTGAGGTTGGTGTTCTGTGAGATGGTTCACACTCAACAGGACACCAAGGCCCAGCCAAGTTTCAAGCTGGCTTTCATCACCAGTGAGGGCGGCTGGTGCTGTCAGGGTTGTAGCCTTTCACTCTATCAAGGCAGCTGGGCCAGTGTGGGTGGGAGAGCCTGAGTTCTCTTCTGATGATTCTGTTTTCTGGAAATTGGAAACAAGGCATCTGCTGAGCTTGAGGTTGCAGAAGAAATGTTAGAGATTTGACAGCAAAGATTTCAGATTCACCTGACAGGAAAATGCCAGGAAACAGAGTAGGAAGTTGAACATAAGAAAATAAAGAGAAAAGATAAGAGGCACAAGGAATACTTCATGTCTGAATTTAAGTGTAATAATAAATTCCCAGGTCAAATGTGCATTTGTTTTAAGGGGATAATGCCAAGTTTTTAAAAATTCCTCTACATAGTAGTCTTTAAAAAATGAGGTCATCAAGCATGTTTTATGCATAGGAAAATTTTACTAAGAAAATATAAGAGCATACATCTCATTACAAGTAATATATCACAAAAAGAGAAAAATAATTCACATGACTATGATGTTTTTAGACTGATTCTTGGAACCATCTGTAAGAAAATCTGGTTTGTTTATATGAGAGACATTCCTCTTAAACTACTATTCCCACAATTACCACAAGACTAGTTGTTCTATCATTTTATCTTAAACACAAAAGTGAGAAAGACCAAACAATGAGTTGCAAAGTGTGGCTTCCTTGAAGTCAATGATTAATGCTTGTGATGTTATCAAAGGGAAAATACTATCAATTGCAAAAATATGTTTTTAATTTCAGTTGATTTTAAAGCTCCTTGAAATACAATAAACATTGGGCAGAAATTTTGTCAAATATTTACCTAAAATAGTTCTCTAGAAGTTCCTTATTCCACACACAATTTTACTATTACTACTTTCTAACTGTTCTTACCTTTTAAACAGAAGTTATATATGCAAATAGCATAACAGATACCATTTAGAATACATCTTACAATGCAGATGTACATTGATGTGTAGATTAACAAACTGAATAGTACAATATATAAGTGCATTTCAAATTGATTTGCACAGAAGTTATAGTGGTTGGCAATTCTATGACTACTACTAAAATAAAAGATATTAGTCAACTATTAAAATCTTTAGTGATATTTATCACATTCAAAACCAAATCCTTATACATCCAATACTTAAAATTTAAAGATTAACAAGTAAGAGGTTTACATTGTATTTAAATTATAAATGGGAACAAAGAAAAATCAAGTGAAGTGGTAAAATGCACTAAGGAGGACTTAAGAATTTTTTCCTTGAAAACTTCTTTTTTCTTCCCCTTTTGGTACCAGGGATTGAACCTAGGAGTGCTTGACCACTGAGCCACATCCCCAACCCTTTTTATTTTTTAAGATAGGGTCTCACTAAGTTGCTGAACTGGTCTTGAATTCCCAATCCTCCTGCTTCAACCTCCCAAGCTACTGGGATTACAGGAGTGAGCTGTCACACCCAGCTAAACTGAAACAATTCTTGAAGATTCAGATAAAATCACCTATAGAGGGCTTTCTTTCCTAAGATGGGTATGAACTAAGAGTCCCAGCTTTGCCACTCATCATGAGATATTCTGTAAGTCATTCAACCTCTCTGTGCCCCTCTCCTTGTCTATGAAACAGGGACAGAAACAGGTTTATTGTGGATTAAATATACAAGATGCTTGGAACACTTAACTCCTGAACAGTGTAGGCACCACCCATACAATCTAGTTTGTTATAACTTGCTAACTGTATGCCAAATGTGTTGGTAATAATTCATCAACTATATAGGAATCAATGATTTCCAAGAACATAGACTTAAAGTTAGGAAAGGGAAAATAATTTTTTCTGGAACATAAAAGGAAATCTGAAAACCGAGGAATATATAACCATACATTTTCTTTATTTATTATTTGATACTGGGGATTGAATCCAGGGGCACTTAACTGAGCTACATCCTCAGCTCTTTTGAGACAGGGTCTTGCTAAATTGCGGAGAGTCTCATTAAGTTGCTGAGGCTGGCCTCAAAGTCACCATCCTTCCAAAGCTTTCCAAATTGCTGGGAGTACAGTTGTGTGCCACCATGTCTGTTTTTCTTTCTTAGTCTTAAAATTTACAGTACACTGAATGTAGAAATAAAACTTTACTTGGAAAACAAAAAACAAAAAGAAAGCCAAGACTTAACAGCCATGTGAAAATGTTTACCCAGATACCATACATTCAAGATATTTGACTCAATGTGTATATTTTGTGCAATAAAACTATGAAAATGTTTCCATTTTTACTTTTCTCTTTGGGTGGCAGTTTTCCTTATTTAAGAAAGAAAAATAATGTCTCAAAATCTAGCACTACTTAAACTCTCAGTAAGAATCAGTGAATTAACAGTTAAGAGTCATGTCTTACTTGAACCTACCTGAATGTACTAAAATTTGAAAATAAAGGTTTAGGTTTTATTTCCCCTCTCTGCTTACATTAAAATCTCTCTCAATTTCAGGTGAAGAGAAAGTTTTCTATAGCTAAATTATCTTGAATATTTTAAATATTAAATCTTACTTTATTTCATCTGCAGTTTAACACTTACATGCTAAAGTGCAAATCACAGAGAATCAGAGTCCATGAATCTATGCAATGTTCTATAGTAAGCAATATGCCTGCAGCTGTACCCACGTGGTCATCTTGGATGAAAATATGGTATTGGGGTTATTTCATTCTTTAGGACTTCCTTTAAATGGATCCCAGTGGAGTTTTGAGACTTGTATTATTGTTCTCAATATTACATATGCCCAATAAAGCTGATTTTATTTTGGTGAGTCCAACAGAACACTGAAGATATTTGTGAAAAAAAGTTATCCTTAAATGAGCCAGAGGAAAAAATCTTACAGTGGCGCATGTCTATAATTTCAGCTATCTTGGGAGGCAGAGGCAGGACTGCACAAGTCTAGGCCAGCTTGGGCAACTTAACTTAGCAAGACCCTGTCTCAAAATACATTAAAAAGGGCTGTGAATGTAGCTCAGTGGTAGAGAGCTTGCCTAATATGTGCAAGGCCCTGAATTTAATCTTCAATACTGGGAGGTGGGGGAGCCACAGGAGCACTTGTATGCCACCCTAATCCTTAGCCCCATTCTCTTTGGGTCTTCTGTTATCTGGGAACAATGGTTAATGCTCCATACTTATAACATTGTATTTCAGTCTTTATTCATTCATCACTCTTTCGAAGAAAATGAAAATACTATTTCTCCAGAGGCTGATAATTTAGAGAAGACAAAGTATAAGGTAAGTTCTATCACTAGGGAATCAATAATCAAATTAAAAAACCTCACAAATATCCATTTGTTAGCTAATCTTTTATAAGTGAAATTTGGTTGTTAGGTTTCACTTAAGTATGCTACAAATCCAGAATTTAAACCACACAGTATTCTAGTTTTATGTATTCTCAGGAAAAAAAAATATTTAAAGAGTTCTATATTAATTTTTCTTATAAAAACTCTGATAACTAAATATAACAAAACTAATGACAGCTACTCCATGTAAGAGTTTCAGTTGATCTTTTTCATATATATAGAAGCACATAGTATATAAACATTAGGCTGAAACAGCACACCGCTTGCAATACTGTGGAGCAACGCCTATTTTCTTTAACAGCAACACAGGTGGTACCTGGAAGCTCATCAGAAATGCAGACTCTCAGGCCACAACCAGGACCTGCATCAGCGTCAGTCCTCAGCATTGGTCATCTCTCCAGATGATTCAGATATCTGCTTTAAGGCAGTTGTGAGGGCAAGTATATCTCTGTGTCAGAACCACCTTCAAGAACTTGCTCAAACTATAGCTGCTAGGGGTCTGCCCCTAATGGCCTGGGGCAGGGCCAGGGGCAGGAATGGAGGGAGTTGGGGCAGAGGCATCTCTTATTTTATTGTTTAGTACTGTGGATTGAAGCCAGAAGTAGTCTACCACTGAGCTACATTCCCAGCTCCCCTTCTTTTTCTAATTTATGAGACAAGATTACTATTGTAGAATGAACATTTAAAAGTTTTGCTTCTTGCAGCACATAAGGCAGACAGATACTATAGCTATACCGCCATATTTTAAGATGCTTCTGGATCTTCCTTTAAAAATCTCTAATATGTAAGCTACACAAGAAACTGGTCTCTTTAGCCAGTTATTGTCTATTTTACTGGGATTAAAAATGGCATCTCCTGGTCTGAACACCTTCCTTATTCATCCCTACTTAGCTCTGAAAAGTAATAAATTCACCTTTAATAGAGAAAGAGTTGTCACCACTAACAACATTCAAGGGAATGCATTGTAGGAGAATCCCAAAACTATTTTGAGTAATAAAGAACCTCAGTTGGATAGGGTATAGTTCCTCCAGTTAAATACAGCTCATTCAGATGTAAACCACTACTGATTTATTTAAAAAAGTAAACGAGATTAGTTGTAATGTATGCTTTAGGCATCCTATATGCCCTCAACTAGAAATTAAAAAAAAAAAAAAAACCAATGTATTTTCATTATAAGCAAACCTACATTTCTAGTTGGGCAATAAGGTAGCATAACTGAAGCAATTAAGTTTAAGACATTACTTTATTAAATAAAAATCATTTTTACACACTGTTGCAAAAGACTGCTTTGTCTAAAGGCAATAGTAGTTCCCATAACTCTCTCCTAATGTTATAGTTAAACCTTGATTAGTTCCAGAAAATAAGAAAAAGGGAAAAAATTTTCTTATTTCCCTAGATCTGTGTATTATAAAAGAATTTCAGAGCATGAAGGTAAAATGAAGCAGATAAACACACTGACAATTTTTTTTGAATTTTGTTTAAAATTTGGCTGCTTTGCAAAATTTGCCCTCATATCCACAGAAATAAACTTCTATTTTTGTAGAACTAACCGGATGATGGAAGATTGTTACCTATAACAGTAAATAACAAATACTTTGGCAAGCAGGACCAAAAATACAAGTGAAGACATCCATAGACACATTTTAAACATCTCTTGGGTGTTGTATGGCTACAAATAAGGACATTAAGCATTATGGTTGATTGTAGGGTATTGGTGGACCTTAATACAGTCAACGCATCCACCTCCAACAGACATGGACATACATGGGTTAAGTCAAGTAAAGTAGTGGGGGAAGAAAAAAAAATATGGAAACACCATAAATCTGATAACATCTCTCAAAAAAGGGGCTTCCCTGAAGCATGGGAAATATTTATTGGTGTGAGTGCTTCTATTCTGTTATCTGGGGAGGTCTTGATGCAGATTCTGGCCATTCATACATATCGGGCAGCAAGGAATCATATTCACTTCGCCATATTCTTTCTTTAATATACTTGGTCTTGTCTTCAGGCTCTGGGTATCGGAAAGCCATTTTATTAGCATATAAGTATTCTGTAACCTGAAAAACAAAGAAGATTATTGTATAGGCTCTCATAGAAAATATTACAACACAAGAAATAAATTTAGAAGAATAGTATTTCTTCTTTTTAAGAATAAAAAAAAAATCAAAATTACTTTGACTTACTTCAAAACATTCAAAGTTTAAAAGACAAAATAAACCAGATGTGGGGTACACATCTGTAATCCCAACAACTCCAGGGACTGAGGCAGGAGGTTCCCAAGTTCAAGGCCAGCCCTAGCAACTTAACAAGGCCCTAATAAATTTAGTGAGACCCTTTCTTAAAATAAAAAAAAATTAATAAAAGGACTTGGGGTGTGGTGCAGTAGTAAAGTATCCCTGGGTTCAATGTTCAGTGCCAAAAAAAAAAAAAAAAAGACTTGTCATCTTACAATGTAAAGTGTTTTAATTATGGCCCTGACCAAGAATTATTATAGCATTTCCCTAATAGTGCAGTCAAAAAAAAAAAAATTATCACTTCAGTAGACACACCTGGGTGATCTGTCCAGCGCATCACTCCTCAAAGCTCTACTGAAAGAGCGAGCTTAGGGAACGCCAGATGTGTAGGACTTTACTTCCTAGTCTTAGCTGACTTGACAGAGGTGAAAACCTAATACAAAGCAAGTCAGATGTCTTTGTTTTAGTATATGGATTGAGTCACAGATATAATAATCAGGTGTTCAACACCAAAAATAAAGTGCAATGAATAGATTACTGAAACCAAGCTAAGTACCATAGTAAACGGTGAGGATAAACCCTCTAGCTTTAATCTGATAAAATGAGGAATGTAAAAAGCTTCCCTCACAGGGAGCTTGCCATCCAGTTATCACGCACGTTATGGTTTCATTTCAAATTTTAAAAGCACTGTGACACATGGTAAAATAAATCCAAACTTCCTTCTCCTCCTCTAATTCCCATTCCAAATTGTGGCCACTATTCACATTTCTTATATCAGTTTTTCTAAAAGAAAAGTTTAAGAAAATGGTCAATAAAAATAATCTATGAAGTCAGGTATGATGGTGCACACCTATAATCCCAGCAACTCAGGAGGCTGAAGCAGAAAAATCTTGCATTTAAGGCTAGACTTAGCAAGACCCTGTCTCAAGATAAAAAATAAAAGAACTGGTAATATAGTGCAGTGTTAAAGTGCCCATGGGTTCAACCCCAAGTACCAAACCCCCCCCCAAAAAAAAACCCCCAAACAAAACTCTGGTTACAAGAGCTTAATCTCTAATGTTATATTATGTAATGGAAAATGTGCTCTGTCTATTGCCCAAACTGTCCTCAAGTTTTTATAAAAAAAAGGAAAAAAGTTTTCTGCTTCTAGGAAGAGAAAACAAAACATACTTTCCCCCTATCCCGTCCGCAAAGTACAACCAAAAATGCTTGACACTGAACATGAAACAACCATTAAAACAACTCTAAGAGGAGGAGAGAAAAGGCAGGCCAGCAAGGAGCCTAGAGACATGGGGAACAACACAGTGGCTTCATGTATCCCAGATTTTTAGATGAAAAAGCCAGCAGCCCTCACACACCAAGAGATGCAGACAAAAAACACCTCAACAAATGGCTGCTTTCTCTAGCTGAAGGATCAGAAGGCCAGCTTAACAGACAGAAAAACTTTCAGTCAATAGCCATTCTACTCCAGTCAAACACCACAGAAAAAATTTTGGTCCAGCCTACCTCTGCTAACAAAAGGTGAGTGAGGAGTTTAGACTTCCATCAAGGCTATAATTTGGTACCACGGGAGCCCTACCAGGGTAGTGTCAGAGCCAGGACTTTCATCCCCACTGGTCAGCAAGAAGGACCTTATCTCCTCACCACCCTGCTGCCCACACTGTCAGTGGAGACCATGTGGAAAACTTCTATCCTTAATCAGTCACCTCCCAGTGCCAGGCCACTGGATGGTATCAGAGAAGGACTACAGAACACTTGGGACCTTGTTCATTGTCCTGTGGTAATGAGGTCATCAAAGTGCAGTGTCAGGACAGAGTATTACTGATGGGGAGGCTCCCCTCTCAGGAGTCAACAGAGGAAGTGGGAAACCTGCAGTGAAATGAAGCACATACCCCAAAGCAGTATCAGAGAAAGTCTTTTAAAAAGAAGATTTAAGAAATATTTAGACTCTAGGTCTCAATTAAAAGAAAAAAAGAAACAAAAAACTAAAAAGTACTTATCATACCAAGAATCAGGTACATATCAAACTAGGAAAAAGAGTCAGTAGATGTTAAAACCAAGATGGCAGAGATGTTAAAATTATCTGACAAAGATTTTGAAGTAGCCATGATAAAAATGCCTCAGGGGAGCCAGAGCCAAGGTGGAAAGCTGCAGGCGCTGGGAGGGCAGGGATGGGGTGGCTGGAGTTAAAGGCCAAGTGTGGGAATGTTTATTGAAAAGAACGTGCTGGGAGAACCCAGCCCTCATACCTCGGGGATTTGGGAACTGGCTGTCTGCAGTGGAGAGCCCTGCCAGATGAGTTCAGCCGTTCCCACTTCATAAAGTTCCTGGTGCAAAAATGAATGGCAAACCCAGCCGTGAATGTGACTTCTTAAAGAAGATTATTGAAACAAATGGTCCTGCTTTTTCAAATCTGCCCTGGTGGTCAGGAGGAGGAAAGTAGGGAGGAAAACTCCCTGGTCACTTGCAAACATCCCTGTCCAGCTTCAGAAGACACTAGTGTCTAATGGCACCACAATAAAACATGTGTTGTTAGATTTCTCCCCTGAATGGAAGATTCTGGATCTGGTTGCCAGCAGATATTGCAAGAGTGTCAGGGATCGTGAAAGGGAAGAATCATATGTTTCTGACCCCAAAACAACACGATCCCAGACTGTCCCTGGACTGTAGAACTTGAAGACACATGTTAGATAGGCAGCTCGAGGAAGAGACACACTGATTACATATCTCATGGGCCGTCACTCTCTTCACTTCATAACATCACATATGTCACGGTGATTTTCCGGATTACTCTCAACCTAGATAACCTAGATATTCAGATCTCGTTTCCCCAGTGACTCTGCTGGCATCTTCCCTTGGAACTAGTTTTACTTCCTCACTTGCTGTTGGCATCACTTCTCAGATCTTTGCCATGGTATCTGGGTGCCTCCCAAACCCCCAAGTCTACAGAAGCTTTTCCTAGACTGCGGAGTCCTTGGGCCTTTATATCTCCTGATCACTCAAAATGACATCAAACCTCACAAGGTTATCTGGCCTTGCTGCTTCTGGATCTACTATCCAGCCCAGCTTTTACCCCTGGATCTTTTCACTGTGTTCAAGGCCAGGGCGGGTGAGATCATTCCAATTGCTCTTTCATGCTTAAGGAACTTGATAAATGAAGTTGTAAGGGGTCTTGGCAGGCAATACATTTGAGCAGAGTTCAGTGGCCATCTGTGGACCAGTCCCTTATCCCTTTTTAAAAGTACATACTCAAAAAAAAAAAAAAAAAAAAAAAAAAAAAAAAAAAAAAAAAAAAGCCTCAGAAAGCAATGTTACACATGCTTGACACAAATGAAATTAGAATCTCAGCAAACAAAATAGAAACTTGCAGTAAATTAAAAAGAGATATAAGGATTCATATGAAAATTTTAGTTCTAAAAATATGTGAATAACTGAAATAGAAAATTTAATAGATTAGGGCTGGTGTTGTGGCTCAGTAGTAGCACGCTCGCCTAGCAAGTGCAAGGCCCTGGGTTTGATCCTCAGCACCACATAAAAACAAATAAAGGTATTGTGTCCAACTATAATTAAAATAAATAAATAAATAAATATTAAAAAAAAAGAAAATTTAGTAGATTAGATTCACAGCTGAATGAGGGGAACAGAGGAAAGAAATCAGTGAACTAGAAGATAGAAAAACAGAAATTATTCAATTGGGAAAACAAACTTGGAACAAACAAATCCCCAAAAGCAAAACAGCATGCCACAGACCTATGTAACAAAAGATCTAAAATGCAAATTATCAGAGTCTGGGAAAAAGAGAAAAGGGTTGAGCACTGCTGATAAATATTCAAATAATGACTGAAACCTCCCAAATTTGGCAATAAGTATAAACTACAGATTCAAAAAGCAAATTCCAAATATACCAAAGGAATCCACACTAAGAAGCATCATAATTAAATTTCCAAAAAATAAAGACAAAAGAAAAATTCTTTTTTTTTTTTTTTGTACCAGAAATTGAATTCAGGGGCACTTAACCACTGAGCCACAACCCCAGCCCTTTTTATTTTTTATTTTGAGACAGGTACTTACTAAGTTGCTTAAGACCTTGCTCAATTGCTGAGGCTGGCTGTGAACTCACAATCCTATTGCTTCAGCCTCCCAAGCTGCTGGGATTACAGGCATGCGTGACGGAGCCCAGAATGACAGTGGGTTTCTCAACAAAAAACATAACGGCAGAGGGAAGTAGTAAATTCTTCGAGTGCTAAAAGAAAAGAATTGCCAATCTAGAACACTATACCTACTAAAAATATCTTCTAGAAATGACAGGGAAATCAAGACATTCTCAGAGTGAGGAAAACTAAGAATATAAGGATGACTAAAAGAATTTCTCTAGCTTGGCATGGTGGTACACACTTATAATCCCGGCAATTTAGGAGGCTGAGGCAGGAGGATCGTAAATTCAAAGCCAACCTCCAGCAACTAAGGGTGGGGATGTAGCTCAATAGTTTAAGTGTCCCTGGGTTCTATGCTAGTACCAAAAAAGAATTTATCTAAACACCAAGGGCATGACGGAGAAGAAACACTTCGAAACATCAGGAAGGAAGAAAGTATGGTGAACAAAAATAAGGGTAAATTCAACCTGGCAATAGTAGCAGAATGTAATTGTTAAGTATGTAATACTATAGTAACCACCACAAAGCTATACAAAGAGATAGGCTAAGAAAATTCTATAATGGTTGGGCTGGGGTTGTGGCTCAGTGGTGGAGTGCTCGCCTAGCATGTGTGAGCACTGGGTTTGATTCTCAGCACCACATAAGCAAATAAATAAATAAATAAATGTCTATCAATAACTTAAAAAAAAAAAAAGACACATAACCCTAAGTGTGTATGTACCCAACAAGAGCTGCATAATATGTGAAGCAAGAAGGAAACAAAAAAAGAACTGGAGAAATAAATCCACGACTATAATTAGGAGTAAAACATCTCTCTTTCAATGATTTTCAGAACTACTGCACCAGAAAATCATCAAAGATATAGAATATCAATATCACTATCAACTAGTTAAGAATCAACTAGTTAAGATCTAATTGAAATTTGTACAATATGCCATCCAATAATAGCAAAATACATATATACCCATCCTAAATGTAGGCACTAAACAAAAAAAAATACTAGAACCAAACAAACTCAGAACTACAGCTAGTCAGAGTCATGATAGCTTAAAATACATTGTCTGGTTCTGTCCATAAGTGGCTTGCCACTGCCCTCAGAATGAATTCCAGATTTATTGATGTAATTACAAAGATTCCCCGCAACCTTGCCGCCTCCTCTGTTTCATTTCAAAATTCTCTCCTTTTTTGTGACCATTTTCTAGACACATGAGGCTTTTTCCAGGATCATATATATCCCACATTCTTTTTTGCCTTTGAATCTTTGTATATACAAGTCCCTCTGCAGTAACCTCTTGTTTCCTAATCTAGGTAATTCCTTAGTCCTATGATATATGAGATACTAACAGAACATCCATCAGTATATTAGCTCCCAGCTAACTCAAAGTAGAATGAAGATCTCCATGTCATTGGTATTCAAAAGTTCTTGGACCATTAGCATAGCATTACCAAGAAACTTGCTGGAGGGGCTGGGGATATGGCTCAAGCGGTAGCTCGAGCTCGCCTGGCATGTGTGCGGCCCAGGTTCCATCCTCAGCACCACATACCAACAAAGATGTTGTGTCCACCGAGAACTAAAAAATAAATATTAAAAATTCTCTCTCTCTCCTCTCACTCTCTCTTTAAAAAAAAAAAAAAAAAGAAAGAAACTTGCTGGAAATGTAAATTCGTGGACTCCATCCCAGACCTACAGAACCTCTCTATTCCAGACTTTACAAAGTCTGTTACTATTAGAGACTGGTAGTAAGGTCCTGGAGTCTGAACAAGTTCTCCAAAGTTGGGCACAATAGTGTACACCTGCAACCTCAGCTTCTATCAACTGAGCTATATCCCTAGCCCTGGCCTCAAACTTGTGATCCTCCTGCCTTAGCCTCCAGAGTTGCTCAGATTATAGGTATGTACCACTATACCTGGCTACAAGCTGACTATAAACTTTCAGATCTTCTCTTATGCCATTTTCCTCTCTGTACCTTATATACCAGCTCAACTGCACTGGCTGCTATTTCCTAAAAGTAATATCCATTACCAATTCCCAATCTGTGCTTAGGCTATGAGCATTAAAATAGTGTAACAATAATATTAAAAGGCCATAAACTTATGATTGTCTATTGCAAGCTGCATATGTGGCTGGAAAATTCCACATCCAATCTTGATGTTTAAGAAAATCTTAATAAACTAGAATAGAAGCCTACCTTCTTTAGATATACATTTTTAAAAACTACATTTGCAGATGATTTGAAACTCAGAAGTTCCAAAGAACCGAGAAACAATTAAAACAATTAAAGTTGAGCTGGGTGGGCTGGTGCACGCCTGAAATCCCAACAACTCAGGAGGATCGTGAGTTCAAAGCCAGCCTCAGCAACGGTGAGGCACTAAGCAACTCTGTGACACCCTGTTTCTAAATAAAACACAAACTATGGCTAGGGATGTGGCTCAGTGGTTGAGTACCCCTGAGTTCAATCCCTAGTAACCCCCCACAAAAGAATTAAAGTTGTTCAGTAAACAAACTGGTTATCAAGCAAATCCAAGTATTCATTCCTTTCCTCTATATAAGAAATAACCAGTGAGAAAAATATGTATAGGAAAAAACATTTTTATATAGAATAACAAAAATTTAAAAATATTTAGAAAAGAATACGCTATATATTATATTCAGATGAAGAAAATTATACTGAAAAGCTTTTTAAAAAGAATTTTAGAAAGAGATATTGATTGAGAATCCTAGGTATTCCAGAGGTTGAGTCTAGTCTGGGCAACTTTGTGAAACCCTGTCTCATGAAAAAAGGGCTGGGAATGTACTCAATGGGACAGGACCCTTGGTTCAATTCTCAGTACTGCCCTTACCCCAAAACTCCAAATAAAGAAAGATACACTCATATCTAATAGTTCAATGTAAATTAGTACTTTTTCCTCTGAAGAAACATTTGACAATGAATATTAGAAATCTTAAGCATGTTAATATGATTTATTCTTAAGATTAGAATTCATCCAAAAGCCATCACAGGATGGGGATGTGGCTAAATGGCAGAGTGCTTGCCTAGCATACATGAGACCCTGGGTCTGATTCTCAGCACCACAAGAAAAAAAAAAAAAAAAAAAAATCACGAATGCACATAAAGATTTATCTATCTATAAGGATGTTCAGAACAGCCTTATTACTAACAATAAGAAACTAAAAATGCTTAAATATTCAAAAATAAAGATGATTAAACATTATAATACAATAACAAGAGGATACCAATCAGTATTAGTGACCACACACAAGACTATTTATTGACTTACACAGAAAAGTTTATATTAAATGGGAAAAGTACAGTTAGAAATCAATTATTAAAAATAGACCCAGGTGATTATATGCATGTATGTATGAATGTATGTGCTTACAAAGAAAGAAAGACTAGAAGGCAAAAAAAAACCTCTAAAATAATAATGTATATAATAACGTATATTATATTTTGGTAACAAAAAATCTGAAAAATTTCTTTGCATCCTTCTCCATGTTTTGAATTATCTCTAACAAAATAATATTACTCATATAAGAAAATGTCATTAAAATTTATGAAGAGGGGGCTGGAGTGTAGCTCAGTGGTAAAGCGCTTGCCTAGCATGTGTAAGGCACTGGGTTCAATCCTTAGCATCTCATAAAAATAAATAAAATAAAGACATTCTGTCCATCTACAACTACAAAAAAAAAATTAAAAAAATTTATGAAGAGGTATAAATTACTTACTTTAATAGCAATGTTAATAGAAACTTCTTGAATATTAGCAAGTGGTGGGTAAAGTCTCCCCTGAGCTAACTCTTCATCTGTCAATTGACTTGTCAGTGCCTGAAAAGAAAAGCATAATTGTACTTCTGTTAGTTTAAATAACAGAAAGATCTATTAAAATGAAAAAAATCAGTGGAGAAAGAGAAAAGCATAGGTAACAAAATTCTTATTTTTTGCAGGAATATATAAACCTCTACAAAAATTAAAACTGTTTATACAAGAAATAAAACAGATTTTTTTTGATGCATTCTACCCAATACATAGAAAGCCTGGCAAAATTACAATATCTACTAAGAAAATAGACATCAGTATTTGTATTAATGTGATTTCTTCAGAATTTCTATTGCAAAATCCAGTAGCCAGAATTCCAAATAAACTATCTCCATTAAAAATATGGAGAGGGGCTGGAGTTGTGGCTCTGCAGTAGAGCACTTGCCTAGCATGAGCAAGGCCCTGGGTTTGATCCTCAGTACCACATAAAAATAAATAAATTAATTAAAGATATTGTATCCAACTGTAACTAAAACATAAATAAAAATACTAAGATATGTATATATTTATATCTATATTGTCTGTCATGGAACCTTTATATTCTCTCTCTCTCTCTCTGTCTCACACACACACACACACACACACACACGCATGTACGCAGAAGTTTTAAACATCATAAATATGAAAGAATTCATAGTTTACAACCAAATGTTTAAAAGTAGACAGGCAAATAAAAAAAACCATGGGTGGTAACTTCCCTTTCGTTAATAGGGCAGAGTTAAACCATTCTCTATTTTAAGATCCATTCATCTTTATAATTATTCCTTTATAAGATAAACATTTTAAACTTACCTTTGCAGCTTCTAGGAAAACATTATCACTGATATGTCGAGTTTGACAGAGAATAACAGCTAAAGCCACACCTGAAAGAAATTTTGAGTACTTTATTTAGTAAGGTCACTTTTCAAATTATGAAAGGGGCCAAATTCCTATAACAAAGTACAGAAAGTACTATAACAAAGTACAGAAGTAGTAATTTACTCCCATCCCAAACAACCCTCAAGTAAAACAAAAATCCGAGCTAAAATCAAACCAAATGATTCCTGTTAACTTACAATTCTTATTTGCTTAAGGATGTTATTTTAGAAATAAATGGCTTCTCAATTTAATTTTTAAGTTCACCAAAATTACAAATGCATGTAATCCATAATATTCATTACAAAAAACACCAATTTCCAGTCTACCTCTAGCCCTCCACTTCTTGCTCAAGAAAAGGAACTACTTTCAATTCATTATTTTAATATTTCTCTTACCCTTAAATAAATTGCTTATATTTCTTCTTATTTGGGGGTTCTAGATATTATTGATTCTTTCTGGGAAGCAAATATCTAGCTCTCCCCCATATTTTCAGCCTTTTCCCTTCTTCCCAATATAACAAGCACAAGTTTGGTTTAATCGACCCTCAAAATTTATGTCATTATGGGGCTGGGGTTGTAGCTCAATGGTAGAGTGCTTGCCTAGCAATGTGTGGGGCACTGGGTTTGATTCTCATTTATATTTATATATGAATAAATAAAATAAAGGTCCTTCAACAATAAAAATATTTAAAAAAATTTATGTCATCATGACTTCATAGGCACTGTTCACATCCAAATGCTGTATCATGATTACTTTTGCTCTTCTTTATAAAGTTCTGTTTCCCCTGAAGTTAATTATTGTTCTGTTTTCCCCATTATTTTGACTTTTCAGTACCTAATTTCATCCTGCAACTCTCCCCCAACTGAAAAAAATCTATTCTGGCTCCCTTGTATACTCTCTAATTTCATCCTCTAGTATAAACATCTGCTGAAGCTCTATAGTCTGGTCAGGTTGTTCTCCATTCCAGATGGGGAACTGTCAGTCATCCTGGAAACCCTGGTATCAGCATGGGGATTCTCTTTGCTTTTGGGACCATTTCCTATCTTCCTAGTGTTTTATTTATTTATTTTTAAAAACTCTTTCAGGGCATACTTTCCATGGGTTTTCCGAAAAACAGTGTATGAGGGATACATTTTTTGAAACTTGCATTTCTGAAAATGTGCATGTTTGTCTACTTCTTTCCACTTATTTCATTATCTAGGTTTGGAATTTTGTTTAGAAATAATTCTCTCCTAGAATTGTGAGGTATCATTCCAATATCTCCTGACTTCCTGTGTTAGTGACAAGTCCAGTGTCAACATGGTTCCAGACCCTCTTTTTTTTTTTTTTTTTTATCTCTAGAAACATATAGGATCTTTGCTTTTGTACCTCTGTTCCTCAATTTTATAGCACTGCCTTGAGGTACACTTTTGCCCACCACGGTTAACACTCAGTGCTAAGCCATTCCTACCTGAAAACCTGAGTCTTTCTGTTTGAGGAAATGTTCATGAAGTTTTTGAAGCCCCCTTTCTGATCTTTCTGTTCTCTTATCCTAGAGTTTCTCATTACTTCCTGGACTAACCCTTTAATTATCTTTATTTCCCATGTCTTGTCCTTTGCTCTATTTTGAGGTGACTTTCTTAACATCTTCTCTAATCTTTCTGCTCACATACTTTTCTTTTTAAGAGCTTGTTTTATTTCCTAATTTTTTTTTTAAAAAAAATTGTCTTGTTTTGGAACATAATCTTTTTGTCTCCATGACAATATTGAAAGTTAGAAAAAACTTTCCACCTCTTATCACAGTCCTTTTTTGTCTCCAATATGCCCTTTTCTGCTTATCTGCTCTGGTTTCTTATTTTCCTTTAATGACTAGAAATCTGAACATTTCTAATGTTTGGAGTGGTACTTATGAGCACAACATTGGGGTTCACCCTCTCTGAGCACAGCTGTAGAGTGACGTGGCTTTCAATCATTCTACTGAAGAATTAGAAGATTGACACCTCTGTTCTCAGCTGTATCTGGTGACTCCCATTTTAGGTACTGTTTTATTTATTCCAATAATATGCCATCATCATTGCAGAGATGGGAAGAACATTCATTCAACTACCAAGAGGATCACATAATTAGCAGCTGCCTTATTTTAATGGAGCCTACCACACATACGTATGTGTGTGTGTGTGTGTGTGTGTAGATGGACACAATATCTGTATTTATTTATTTATTTTTATGTGCTGCTGAGAATTGAACCCAGTGGAACTGGTGAACATCTCACTCTTGTTAGGCAAGCACTCTACCATTAAGCCACAACACCAGCCTGGTACATATATTTTTAGTAAAGCATATGATTCATGTATATTTTTTAAAGTATCTTTTTAAAAGTATTTTTTAGTTGTTGATGGACCTTTATTTTATTTATTTGTATGTGGTACTGAGAATTAAACTCAGTGCCTCACACGTGCTAGGCAAGTGCTCTGCCACTGAGCCACAACCCCAGCCCCATCATGTAGATATTTAAATGTTTGGGAGTAAATCTACTGTCTTCCTATATTCTCCAAGTCCAGTATATATTTCTTTTTCTGGGTTGTTTAATAATATTGTTTTACCCCCTAATAAATTTTAATTTATCATAAATTTTAAGTTTTTTCTAGTTTTTGAGTGGTTATCCTAAAATTTAGAACATGTCCATAAGTAATCAAAATTCCATATTAATTTTAATTTTTCTGCCAGAGAATGCAAGTCCCTCATTTAATTCTATTTAACCTAAAAGCATTCTTGTTATTTTATATCCATGTAGTTTTCTAAATACCATGTCGTTACAGTTGAGCTCTCTGTACACAATACTGGTTTTGTTTTACCTGCATATTCACAATTTTTGCTTTTCATTCTTTCCTTCATCTTTAAGCTTCTATTTGGGATTTTACTATTGCCTAAGGAACAATATTTCCCTTCCTTTCATACAAGTGTGTAGGTGGTGAATTCTGTTTTCTGAAATGTCTTCATTTTGCCTTACTTCTTCCAAGATTTTCACTGTGATGATCTAGGTTGGCAAGTATTTCCTAGAAGTAAAATAAACATATAATCCCACTGCCTTTTGGCATATTGTTAAGGAGTCCAATGTCAGCCTAAGAGTTGTTCCTTTGAAAGAAATATTTTTGATCTGGTTGCTTTCATATTTTCTCCTTGTTGTGATTTTTCTGAAATCTCACAATGAGGTTCTTGAGTAGATTTTTTTTTTTTAAATTTTTTTTAAAGAGAGAGTGAGAGAGGGGGGAGAGAGAGAGAGAGAGAGAGAGAGAGAGAGAGAGAGAGAGAGAGAGAATTTTTAATATTTTATTTTTTTAGTTCTCGGCGGACACAACATCTTTGTTGGTATGTGGTGCTGAGGATCGAATCCGGGCCGCACGCATGCCAGGCGAGCGCGCTACCGCTTGAGCCACATCCCCAGCCCTTGAGTAGATTTTTAAAACCTATCCTGCATAGGTTTCAATGAGCTTCTTGACTACTGTCATTTACCAGTTCCAAGAACTTCTTGGCCAGAGGCCTGCAAATGTTGGCTCTGCTTTATTCTCACTTTCTTCTAGGACTTCAGTTAAAAATACAACATTAAAGATATATCTCTTACCTATTTTTTTGTATTTTCCTTTCTATCTTTGTGCTTTGTTCTCTATTGTCTCTTCTCAGATAGTTTCTGAGTTGACCAATTCTCTTTGGTCTATTCTGCTATAAGCCTCATTTACAATTCAGTTCTTGACTTATTGTTATTTTTGAATTCTAGAATTCAATAGTTTTTGGCTGAGGTTTTCGAGCTTGGCTTTATCTCTATAAACTTAATAAGCATTTTGGTGTCTTAGCACTTGTCTTATATGTAGAATTTTAGCAGGTCTGTTTTTCTTGTGGTCTCTGCTGGCTTTGGCTTGTGTTGTCATGTCTCTTTACGTGTCTCATTATCTTTAGAAAAATAATCTGAAGACTTAGAATACTGTTATTTCAGAGAAGGTTTGTTTGCTTCTGTTGGGCCCTTGCTGGCACTGGCAGTCCAGAACAAAGGCTTGAGGTTTTCTAGATCACCCACTGCCACTGCAAACCATAACCCCATTCCAAAGTACAGTCCTTTGGGTTTCAGACTGGAGGGGGAAGGGTTCTTTCCTGAATTTTGATCTGGAAAACATTTTATTAGAGCCAACGTCTGATTAGCCTATTGACCCTTTTAAGGTTGTTTTGTTTTTAAAATTTCATACAGTTATTACAAGTAATTCCAAAACAATCAGAGCCTTAAGTTTTTAGTTGCTTTACATACAGACTCTGAGACAATCTTCCTGTTTAAAGGCCATTTTTATCTCCACTGCCAGGTCATTTTTCATGTTCACATTTGTGGTGCTAATAATTTTTATTAATAAAGTTAGAATTAAAAAAAATATTTTTTAGTTGTATATGGACATAATATCTTTATTTTATTTTATGTAGTGCTGAGGCTAAAACCCAGTGCCTCACATGTCTGAGGTAAGCACTCTACTACTGAGCTACAACCCCAACACAATAAAGTTAGAACTTTAAAATGTTAAATAAAAAGTAATCAACTACCAAACTAAACTCCTTACTAGTCAAATATGATATTAAAGTAGTTTTAGTAGAATAAGCAGAGATGTGTTCCCTTCCCATTTCCTCATGCATTTATACCATAGAAATATTACTGAAGCTGGGCACGGTGGGGCACGCCTATAATCCAGTGGCTCAGGAGGCTAAGGCATGAGGATCATGAGTTCAAAGACACCCTTTGCAACTTAGCAAGACCCTGTCTCAAATAAAATATAAAAAGGTCTGAGGATGTGGCTCAGTGGTTGAGTGCCCCTGGGTTCAATCCTCAGTACCAACAAACAAAAAAAGAAACACTACTAGATAGAAGAGGTTGATTTCGAACATTATCAAGTTCTACAAAAACATCATCGATGATGGGAGTTTCTATTACAGATGCCAGGTCTCAAGAGACAACAATAACTATACTGGAAGAATGTTCTACTTATTGGCTAAATACATCCTTATTGTGACAATAGTAATAACATGCTTGTCTAAGGTGTGCTATTATGTGCTTTGCATCTACCTGTATCTTAATGGGAGCCTGCTGTCAGCTGCTAAGGGTAAGACCCACAGGGGAAGGAAGACAAAAGTGCAAAGGAATTCATGTCAAATCCCTGTACTGCTCAATATAGTCATTCTTAAAAAGAAACTGACAACTAAGGATAATCATAAATTTATGGGGAGGGGAACAGCACAAAGGATAAAATATTGCAAGGAAGAAAGAGATGAAAGAAAATCTAAAACTTTTTTTTAAAAAGAAACTATTAAATTAATTCTGGAATAAGAAAATATTAAAGGAATAAAAAATTGTTCAACTGAATGAATTGACAATATATGCTATTAAGCATATTGGGCAATTATTATTAATTCCTTTGGTATGATAATAGTGAGGTGGTCATGTTTTAAAATTCAAAAATTTAGCCAGACGCAGTGGTGCTAACCTATAATCCCAGCAGCCTGGGAGGCTGAGACAGGGGAATCTCGAGTTCAAAGCCAGCCTCGGCAAAAGCAAGGCACTAGCAACTCAGTGAGATCCTGTGTCTAAATAAAATATAAAACAGGCTGCAAGTGTGGTTCCGAGTTCAATCCCTGGTACTCACCGTGCCCCTTCCAAATTAAAAAACTTAATTTTCTGAATATATACTGAAGTTGTTATGAATAAATTTATACTATGTTTCCGATCTCCTTTAAAAAGACTTAAAAAAGCCACACTAGAAGTGCCAAAAAAAAACTTAACAGGCATTGATGAATGAGGAAATATCACAGAAACCTTCCACGTTATGAGATAAAATGGCAAAGATGAAAACAGAAAATAAAATTTTAAGGTCAAAGACAGAAGAGAAAGGATTCTACCCATGATCTAATGTAAGCTTTGTAAGAAAAAAACTAAAGTTCTAGAAGGAAAGAAATGGAAGGAAAAAAAAAGTTAAATGGGAATAAACCCAACCTAGATACATTTTAGTAAACTTTCAGAAATATAAAGAGAAAAGTGAGAAGACTCTGAGAGAAAAAAGTTATTATGCATAAAGGGATGTGATTCCTTTTATCAGATTTCTCATCAGCAACACTAACCTTAACAAAAAGTGAATGGTCTTCAAAGGTCTGATGACAAATACTTTGACTTTACCCAGCCAAACCATCAAGTGAGAAGACAAAATAAAGATAATTTCAGATCTGTAAAACCTCAGGAAGATTTCATACGTTCTTTAGGGAAAAAAAAGAAAAAGAAAAAAAAATCTTTAAAGATGTATCCAGAAACACAAGGGAGACAGAATAGAAAAAGAAGATGGGACAGAATAGTTTACTCTTGAGTAAGATCAAGGAAGAAAAGAAGAAATTCATTATACTTGATAATACTTGAAATATTCTGAACATCAAAAATTAATGATACAGAACTATATCTTCTAGTGCATTTGTCAAACCACACTGTAGCTGGTGAATAACATTTATATAATCATGGGTTTTTTTTTTTTATAATTTTGATTTTGAATATTCACAATCTATAGCGGAAGCATGGAAAACAAAAGAATACAATGTATCAAAAAATTCTCTACAATGTAGAAATATTGACAAATAAAACTGAAAAGTGGAAAAAGAAAGTAACTTAAGATTTTTTTCATTTAGCAAGCTAATAAAAACTCAAATTGCTAACAAAAGCTTGAAAAGCTCTTTAAGTAAGTTACATAAAGATAAAAGCAACTACTTAAGAAAACAAACAGTAATAAGACAAATTGAGTGGTGGATGAAGAAAGGTATCAGAAGGCATGTGTGCGCTATTACTTGTATTTCATAGTGGAAAGTTCAAATATACAGTTGAGTTACAAGAACTGTGATAAAAGGAGATGAGTGGGCCTGATGGTGACTGCCAGGAAAAGTCAGAACAAACCACTGGTGGTAGTTTTATCTGACAAGTGTGGTTAAGAAGACACTAGGGGGACATACAGAGGGTTAAGCAATTTTCTACCACTTTGCGCCTTTGCATTTTTATGAACCACATACTATATATTATTTGTATAATAAAAACAAGATTAATATGAATAAACAAATTTTTAGGGGAAAGAGAGCAAATTGGAAGTTACTGAATTCCTTGAATTTCCCTATACATTTGTAACAAAATTCTGCAAACACCAATGTTTATTCCAAAAAATTTCAGGAAGTATTTTTATGTAATTCCTTATTGCTTTGTAACAAAAATAATGTATTGCTTTGTAACATAAATAATGGTGACATTTACCTGGGAAAATATATACATTATTTCCTTGACCTGGTGTAAAGACTCGCCCATCTTGGAGTTTCACTGGCCCAAATGGACTACCACTGGCAAACAAACACCTTCCCTGTAAATGAAATGAAATAATCTCAACTTTGTTCCTCTACATGGATGAGAAAATTGAGGTGAATTCATATAAAGTTAAGTCCTCTGGTAAATTAGACCAATAAATCACCTGGCAACAAAGCATCATTTACTGTATAACAAATCCTTTTATTAGGATAAGGACTATTTTATGCATAGTATTACATTCGAATAAACCTGAAAAATGTCCATTAAGTAAACTTAAAAATTCTGATACTTCTAGTTCCTTTATAAAAATGAAAATGTAAATGGTCCACAAATATAATCCCAATAAAGATGGATATAAATTGTGAATGAAGGAGGAAATGTCACAATTAATTTACTACCATTTACTGTATATCTCCTGTTTTGGGTTCTGTACCAGGTGTTTTATATGTTAATTCAGTTAACTTAGCTCTCCTGAAAACCTTATGAAATTATCATCATCTTCATTTCACTGATTATTAAAAAAAAACCAAAAAACCCTTGATAAAGTACTTGGTAAAAAGTTACACATCAGGGCTGGGGCTCAATGGCAAAGCACTTGCCTCACACAGGTGAGGCACTAGGCCTCAGCACCACATAAATAAATAAACCAAATAAAGGTACTGTGTCTATGTATAACTAAAAAATATTTCTAAAAAAGTTACACATCAAATTTGCAGCAATTAAACTTGACTTGAATTTTTTTATAACTCCAAAGCTCAGGTGTATTATGCTATAATACTCTCTAGCAGGCAATTTATAAAATAGCATTGTACAATCACACTGATTCCAGAAAAAAACTGGTATTTTACCTTGTTAAAGAAAATATTTTGCTAAACACAAGATATTGAAAATACTGGCTGGGCACAGTGGCACACACCTGTTATCCCAGCAGTCTGGGAGGCTAAGGCAGGAGAATCCCAAGTTCAAAGCTACCCTCAGCAACTTGGAGAGGCCCTAAGCAACTGAGCAAGATCATCTCTCCAAAAATAAAAAAAATAAAGGGCTGGAGATGTGGCTCAGTGGTTAAGCACCCCTGGGTTCAATCCTTGGCACAACAAAACAAAACAAAAACAAAAACAAAAAATAATCTGTTAAAGTCTCCACATATTTTGTAGTCATCTGATTTAGTTCTTCGATCTATGATGGCATATAATGTTACTAGCACCTTTATTACTTCTAAAAGAATTAGATGCCTATATAATTGAAAATACTGGAGATTTAATTTATAAAACAAAATCCTTTACATATCATTCCCTATCCCCACCTTCTTCTCCCTCCCTCTCAAAAAGACAAGAAGAAAACAATAGTGCTCAAACAGAATACTCTATCTTGTAATACTCAGGAATAACTAAAATAAGCCATGGGTCATTAGGTTAAAAGATAATTTACAGAAGACTGAAATATCTCCATACAGTAGGATGGACAAATTACCATGACACCTGAACATTCAACCAAGTTATAATAAGTGTTTGGACACTGCTTTATCTTCTTTTTCTCAGATTTGAAAATATATATTATATCAAGAATAATGATTATTCTTCAGAATAGATCTGGGCACTAGTGAATTCATTAACATTCAAGAATTTGACTCTAAGCAATTTGTCCACAAATTTATGTTAAACATGTGCAAGGCTGCAGTTTTCAATTTCAAAATGATACAAAGTTTAAGTGTGAAAGCAAGTTCACTATGGTAATGGTGGCCCAGCTGACTAGTTTGGATTTGCAACTCCATACAGCTATGTAATTTTTCTACTCACTCTACAGATAGTTATTATAATTCTCTACTTGTCCTAAACATAGCTCTACCTGTGGCAAAAAAGTTTTATTTCTTTGATGAGTAATGTCACTGTATGTCTTAGGTCATATGTTACCAAACTAAAATATACAGAATATTTTTGTGGCACCATTAATTTTAATAGCCTCATTAAGTGGATTATACAAAATAGCACTTTACAGGAAAAATGTTATGCCTTCACAATATCAGTCAGTTTGCAGACTTAGAAAGATTTTAGGAATGTCTTAAATGGAATCTACATTTTCTCCAGGCCACCTTTATCTTCTCCCTCCCCCGAAATAAAAATGGAGCTTAAACATAGCCAGATCTTAATGATAACAGCATTCTCATTCTGAAGTCAACCTGGCCAATTTGAACAAATGGCCATTAAAACATGAGACATTTGGAGCTTTTTTTGTTTGTTTATTTTAAGTATTTTTCTCACTGAGCAGCAGAGGGTGTTAGAGTAACACTAAGACATGTCTCCACTGAACAGGACACCAAGAGTTGACTGCAACCATATAGAAACTTCTGCCATTATTTCATGTAGCACTAAGAATTCACATAAAGTTAAAACTATGAGTCAATGCCTTTCTGTTTCTTGGTAAGAGACAGGATGACTTCTTAAAACTGCTGAAATGCCCAGGCATGGTTGCACATGCCTGTAATCCCAGTGGCTAGGGAGGCTAAGGCACTAAGCAACTCAGTGAGATTCTGTCTCTAAATAATGTACAAAATAGGGCTCGAGTGCCCCTGAGTTCAATCCCCAGGACCCTAAAATAAAAAACCAAAAACCCTTGCTGAAATGCAGTATATCAAACCAGTCTCCCGTGGGAATTTTAATATTCATCCCAATAATGTATACTTTATCAATAAAATTTATTCAAAAATTCTTTAACGAGTAGAATACACTACTACTCCTCAATACATTCAATTTTTTTTTTACATTTTAGAAATGCCAAACCCAAAATACATTGATTATATGTACCAAAAAGTCATTATGTAAGATTAAGGTTTAATTTTAGGGACAAAAACTACCCATTTTATGTAAAACCTGGTGGATAGGATAGGCAATCAATCTAAAAGTAATACCATATTTAGCAAAAAGATCAGGCAGTACACTGAGACTGATTCTAAAAACTATGATGATTCTGAAACTGATTTTCTTTCTTTATTTAAAGAGATGGGGCCTCATTCTGTTGTCCAGTCTGGTTTCAAACTCCAGATCCTCCCACTTCAGCCTCTGAGTTGCTGAGATTACAGGTGCATGCCTCTGTGCCCCATGCAATTAATTTTTAAAAAGGAGGAAGTGCCAGATGCAATGGGGTACACTTAATTCCAGCTACTTGGAAGGCTGAGTCAGAATGAGCACCAACTTTGAGGACAAACTGGGCAATTTAGTAAGCCTCTGTTTCAATATAAAATTTAAAAAGGGCTGGGGACATAGTTCAGTGGTAGAGTGCTTGTTCATGCACAATTCGTAGCACTGCCAAAAAAAAAAAAAAGAATGAATTTCAATAATTATTGTATTTATTGGATGTCATCACAGAGAAAAAAACAGAATAGTAAAGATGTAAAGACATAAATATTAAGTCCAGAAAGTTCTGAGAAAGTGCAGCTTTAACAATAATCTTCTAGGTTGCTTCATATTAACTTTCTCTAAGGTTACAATTAAAAAAAAAAATCAATCTATCCATCCGTCCATTTTTTCAGGACTAAGGATTAAACTCAGGGTTGCTCTACCATTGATCTGCATTCCAAAGCCTTTTCTATTCTTTCCAAGTAGCCTGGATTACAGGTGTGCATCACTGTATTTGGTTAAAGTAAATGTATTTTTAAAAATGTTCTTTGGGCTGGGGATGTGGCTCATGCAGTAGTGTGCTCGCCTGGCATGCATGGGTCGCTGGGTTCAATCTTCAGCACCACATAAAAACAAAGATGTTGTGTCCACCAAAAACTAAAAAATAAATATTAAAAAATTCTCTCTCTCTCTTTAAAAAAATGTTCTTTTTTTAATATTTTAAAAACGTTCTTTAAAAAAAATGAAACAGAGTATTACCAAGATAGTGAAAGTGTGGTGTTAGGGGTGGAAGGGGATGGTTTTTAACATCCAAAAGAAGAGGAAAGCAAGATATAAGGCCAAGCTGGGCAAGGTGGCGTATGCCCATCATCCCAGCGGCTCAGGAGGCTGAGGCAGCAGTATGGTTCAAAGTCAACCTCAGCAAAAGCAAGGAGTTAAGCAACTCAGTAAGATCTTGTCTCTAAATAAAATACAAATAAGGCTGGGGATGTGGCTCAGGGATTGAGTGCCCCTGAGTTCAATCCCGGTAAACAAACAAACAAATAAATAATAAAAAGGGCTGGAGATGTAGCTGAGTAGTAAAGTATACTTGGTTAAATCCCCAATATAAGAAAAAAAAAAAAAAGGAAAAGAAAAAGATATAAGGTCAGTAATTAAATGTTTTCCCCTCAACTGGTAATTTCAAAGGCAAAAACTGTGGCTTTAACCTGTGTAACAAAGATATCAGGAATTTCAAGTTCAGGGACCACTAAGAATGAAGGTTGCTGGTAAATACTCCAGGGCTTTGGAACCATACCCAAAGGGGTACACATTTGGAGGAAGAAGAAACTGGAAACAGACTAGGCCTCACCTAGACTGCATCCTGGTTGGATTATGATGATGTACCCCATCCTAATAGTCACCAGAGGACACATGAAGCCCCTCTGGAGGAAGAGAATGTCATCCAGACCCTCAAATGATTGTTATAATTCTTCACTCACACTATCCAGCACTCAATAAACAAACAAACAAACAAACAACCAGGCTTATGAAATGACAAAAACTATTTACCCAAGGAAAAAAAAAAGGAGACATAATAAAAGTGGACTTACATAAATTGAGATATTTGCTATAATCAGAACCTTCAATTGTAATTCAGTGTAATCCCCAGTACCACCAAAAAAAAAAAAAAAAAAAAAAAAGAAGAAGAAAGAAAAAAATATCCTGTAATTGTAATTCATATATATTCAAGAAATTATTTTACCCAACTTTATCACAGATTTATTACTTTATTTATTCTCAAAGGTATGACTTAACAATCATAACTGCTGAACACCATTATAAAGAGGCCTTTATGGGCCAGGTATGGTGGCCCACACCTGTATACTCAGTGGCTCCCAGCAGCTGGGGAGCTATGTCAGGAGGATCACAAGTTCAAAGCCAGCCTCAGCAACAGTGAGGCTCTCAGCAACTCAGTGAGACCCTAAATAAAACACAAAATAGGGCTGGGGATGTGGCTCAGTTTAAGTGCCCCTGAGTTCAATCCCTAGCACCAAAATGAAAAGCCCTTATATTCATTCTCTGGGGGGGCTGGAGGTGTAGATCAGTATAGAATGCTTGCCTAACACAAGCAAGATCCTGAGTTCAATCCCCAACAGAAAGGAAGGAAGGAAGGGAGGAAAGAAGGAAGGAAAAAAAAAATCACTTTCTAGAGCCACTTAAAGATCAATTACAAGAATAAAGGAAGTAATTATGCTATGAAGATTACAAGTATAGAACATCAGGGAGGAAAAAGCCAAACAGAACTGTCTTAATGGTATATAAGCAGGTATTTGTAATTGAGATATAACCTTGTGACAATGTCAAATAATTTGAAAGTACTAAATCTCAAAACAATTTTAAATAAAAATTTGTTACAGGAAGCTATCAGTTAACTCAAAAAAAATAACCTAGTAAAGATAAATACTGATGGTGAAGTGAGTAAAAAATAATTGCTTCATAAAATATGGGGAAGGAAAACAGAATCTATAAACTGATAATTTCTGCGATTTTAAGTCTGTCATTAAACTAATCAATTATAAAAGAAACAGAAAGTCTACAAATGAAAACAATGCAATAATTAAAATTAAGAACCTAAAAACAAACTAGTACAACTGGAAAGAGAATCTGCAAACAGGAAGAAGGTCCAAAGAAAATCATCAGGCTGAAACACAGAGCAAAAAGGATGATATATACAAAAAACAATGTAAGGGATAATGGAGATGCAGTGAAGTCTGATTGTGCAACTGGAGTTCCATAAGAGGAGAGAGAGATTATGGCCAAAGCATAGGAAACCGAAAAACAAAACAAAACCAGATATCAAGCCACACATTCAGGAGCCCTATAATCTCTAAGTGGAATAAACACAAAGATACATTATTGTAAAACTGCTAAAAACTCAAGATGAGGAATCAAAAGAAAAACAGAAGTCAGAAAACAAAACAAATACTATCTTCAAAGGCTGAAATAATGTAACCACCAACTTTTGCTTCTATACAGAACAAAAATATCCTTGTAAAACAAACAAACAAAAAATTTAAATAAACCCTCTAGCTTCACTTGCTATTGGCTAACAAGAATGACTCACTTGGAGGCCACATGGCTGGAAAATACATTGTTAGTATTCCACTAGCTTTGTTCTAAGTAATACCTCTGACATGTGGGTTATGATAATGATTGTCTACGTTACTTTTCATGGACTTGAGGTCAGTTTTGCTAAAAATACTGACTCTTCTCTTGGGCCTAAAGATGTGTGACAGGTGACTACTATGAGATGAAAAGGCTCAGCCTATCTGTCTTTATACCACATTTGTCTCCTTTGTTGCCTTAACTTTTGTGTCAGACTCTACTTAGCACTGCATGTAGACATGGTAATCATCTGAGAAATGTTTTGTCCAAAACTATAATATAGGGTTAACTTGGCCTAGACTTGCCCAGTCTCTCTCCTCTCTACTTCAAGGCTAAAGAGACCCACCAATCCTCATAATTGGAAACACCAGACCACGAAAGGAGTGAAAAGAGGTGGTACATGAGTTCCTGTAAAACCTCACCTAGTTCCAGAAAAAACTTGAATGTTCCTCTCCTTTATTAGCCTCTAACTACATTATTATCCATGAAATTGAGAAGCTGAGGTGTGAGCATGAGCTCCCACTTCTCTACTCTCTGGTCATCAAATAAAGCCTTTCTTTTCCCCTAATGGTCGTCTCTCAGACATTGGTTTTGCTGTGGAAGAGCCTCCAAACCTGGGTTTGGTAACAAGTCAAAAACGAAGGCAAAAAATTATCAAGAGAATTCACCAGACTCACACTTAAGGAAAGGAGTTATTCTAGTAGGAGAAAATGATCCTTGACAGAAGCACAGACATGAAGGAAGGAAAGAATAAGGACAAAAAAATTAAGGTGTAGGTCAAATCCAAATGAAAAATTTATATAGAAAAACAATAATGCCCTTTGGGTTTAAAATGTACAGAGAAAAACAATAGTGCAAACAATGCAAGGGCCTTAAAACGGGAGTTATATAACTGTTTTCCAGAATTGATATAAGCCATTTATATCACCCTGATGACCCATGGATGTATATTATAATCTTCAGTGAAACTGGTAAAAGAAGCATGCAAGAATATGTAATTAGTAAGTTAATGGACGGAGAAAACAAAACATAGCCAATTCATATAATCATTTTTAATACCTCTGTAAGTGTATACGCTTCTTCAGGTGTGCACTCAGCCTTTGTTGTAGGATTACTTAATGCAAATATTATAGGCCTTTCATTGATACGGGCCATGGCTTTGATTACAGCAGGAGTAAAAAGCCGGCCAGCACCTGCAACTCCTGCAATAAATAAGGGGGAAAAGTAACTTCAGCAGAGATATAATTAAGAACTTACCAATAGCATCTCTACAATAGGTTAACCATAACAAAACCATGTATAATCTCATTATAAAGATAAAATTTGCATTGCTAATACTCTGAGAACACAATCTTTAAATCTGAAAAGAAAAACAATGAAACGCTGAAAATTCTCATCTAAATATTTATTACTACCACATGCATAGCAAATTATAGAATATGATTAAAGAGAAACAAAAAAAGGATAACATTATCTATAGCAGCCAGGTGTGATGGTGCATGCCTGTAATCCCAGCATCTAGGTAGGCCAAGGCAGGAGGATTACAACTTTGAAGCCAGCCTCAGTAACTTAGCGAGGCCTTAAGGAACTTATTTAAGACCTTGTCTCAAAACAAAAAATAAAAAGGTCTGGGGATGTTGCTCAGTGGCTAAGCACCCCTGAATTTCATCCCCAGCGCCAAAAAAAAAAAAAAAAGAAAGAAAGAAAGAAAGAAAAAGATTATCTATAGCACTCTAAGACAAAATTTGTATGAACCTTTTAATGAATTTAATGAATGAACTTCAGAACATTAAGCTAAATAAAATGTACTAGTGACAAAAGGACAAAAATTTTATGTTTTCATTCATGAGGTACCTAGCGCACAGAAAGTAAAATGCAGTTGCCAGGAGCTGGGAGAATGGGAATTATTGTTTGATCGGTATTAAGTTTTAGTGTCACAAAAGAAAAGAATCCTGGAGATGGCTACACAACAATGGGAATATATTTAAAAATGGTTTGGGATGTCAAATTTTGTGTATATTTTACCACAGTTTAAAAAAGTTAAAAAAGACGAGGAAACCTGTCTCAATTGTTAAAATTCTGTGGCACTCATTACAAAATAAAAGAAGTTCAGAAGAGATAAAAGATCATCTTGATTGCTAAGCAATCAATATTTGATACAGTTGAGTTTTTAATGTCCCAGACACAGAATGGGGCCATAAAGATGCAAAAATGATTATAATGCAGGCAGGTTACAGTTGAGGGAAAAAAAATCAAGAAAATAAACAGAAGCGACAACTAAAAATGCATCTGCTGAGGTCTTTTTGCTTCCTTAACCCTCTGGAAGTAGAATGAGTCAGTGGATACATTTCTAGGTTTCCATATGGAGTTCTTTTTTTTTGTACTGGGGATTGAACTCAGGGGCATTCAACCACTGAGCCACATCCCCAGCCCTATTTTGTATTTTATTTAGAGCCAGGGTCTCACTGAGCTGCTCAGTGCCTCACAATGAATAAGGCTGGCTTTGAACTTGAAATCCGCCAGTTTCAGCCTCCCAAGCCACAGGGATTACAGGCATGTGCCACCGTGCCCAGCCCAGCCCATATTGAGTTTTGGGGGGAATGAAAACAGAGTCTTTAAGCTTTCTTCTCACTATAAAAAATTAAGAGTTGTTGAGCATTTAGTTAAAAGATTTGTTTCTTATACTTTTAAGTGCTTGTGTACTCTGCAGTTGAGCTACATACTCAGTCATTACCACCCCAGCCACTTTGTAAAACTTTTGAGACAGGATCTTGCTGAGTTGCCCAGCTGGCTTAGAACTTTCCATCCTCCTGTCTCAGCCTCTCCAAAAGCTGGGACTACAAGTATGCATCACCATGCCCTGACAAACACTCCATTTTTAAAGACTTAATTTCTCTGCTGAGAATTCAGTGCTATGTTGGCAACTGATGTCAGCTGTGCAAAGCTTGACTCAAAACACTTGAAGGATTTCAACTTTGTTGCTAATGAAATGCTGCATTGGATTATCCCAAATAGTCTGTCAAATGAACTACATCTTTTTAAGTTTTGAGCATGACTACCCTAACTATAAAAACAAAGCACAATAAGGAGCAGGGTGGGCATGCACACACATGCCTATAATCTAGCTACCAAGAAGGCTGAGCCTAGGAGATTAAGACCAGCCTGGGCAACATAGTGAAACCCTGTGCTTAAAAAAAAAAAAAAAAAAAAAACAACACCAAAGAACAGCAATCCCTTAGGGAAGGAGGTGAAGGAGAGGATACAAGCAAAGTATAATCAATTGAAGAACACACAGCATTTAAAAGTATAAGAAACATCTTTTAACTAAATGCTCAAGCAACATGACCAAAAAGCTGTCTCAGAAAATGTGAATCAACTCTCTGTATTTGTGGGGTTCTGCATATGTGAATTCAACCAACTGCAAACAGAAAATACTTAAGGAAAAAACTGTGCCTATACTAGCATGTACAGACTTTTCCTTGTCCTTATTCCATAAATAATACAGTATAACAACTATTTACAATGTATTGGTATTATAAGTAATCTAGAGATACTTTAAAGTATATAGGAGAATATGCATAGGTTATATGCAAATACCACACCTTTTAATATAAGAGACTTAAGTATCAGATTTTGGTATCCATGAGGATCCTGGAACCAATCCCCCAAAAGGCCAAGGGATAACTGTTTATGTTAAAAGCTACTCAGGGTTATACAAAATTACATACAAGAGGAAGTGAGGGGAAAGGGAAAAATAATACAAGGGGGAGGAATGAATTACAG